TTAAGGCGACTTGGAAATGACAGTCAAACATTGGTTTTCGAGCATCTCGGCTGCTGAACATTTCAGAAGCTGAACGCCGAAAACCCAGAAGTGAAAACCCAGAAGCCCTTTGATCCCCAGTTTTTGAACATTTCGGAAGTCGAACGGACTTCCGGAATGTATTCCCTCAAACCCGAGGTTCCACTGTACAGTGGTACCTCGGGTTACAGATGCTTCAGGTTACAGACGCTTCAGGTTACAGGCTCTGCTAACCCAGAAATAATACCTCGGGTTAAGAACTTTGCTTCAGGATGAGAACAGAAATCGTGCTCTGGCGGCACGGCAGCAGCGGGAGGCCCCATTAGCTAAAATGGTGCTTCAGGTTAAGAACAGTTTCAGGTTAAGAATGGACCTCCAGAACGACTTAAGTTCTTTGTTAGGATATTTCCGTTCCACCTTAAAAGGGAGCAGGCTTTGTGAGTCACAGAGTCTGCGTATTTCCTGTTTCACAGGATGTTTCTGTTGTGTCTTTGCTTTCGTTCTCTCTGTGTCAGAGACACTGAAGCAGGCAGTCATGTTTTTCTTTGTTCTGATCAACGCTGAATAAACTTGTAAATATGCTCTCCTGCGTGCATCTTTCGCTGTGAATTATCTGCTGATAGAGCGTGCATCGGCTCTAGAATGTGGCAGGCTATTTCTGGAGCTCATGTCGCTAATTGCTGATACTGCGTGTCTATGGGAGATCGATGGACGTCCGGACACGGCATGGGAGTCATGATGGACTCTGTCTCCCTGGCAGTATCCCGAGGTACCACTGTACAAGTAATCCAGAATGCGGCAGCTAGACTGGTGACTGGGAGCAGTCATCAGGGCCATGTAACAAACACCAGTCCTAAAGGATCTATACTGGCTCCCAGTATGTTTCTGAGCACAATTCAGTGTTGGTGCTGACCTTTAAAGCCTTAAATGACCTTGGCCCAGTATACCTGAAGGAGCATCTCCACCTCTGTCGTCCAGCCTGGACACTGAGGTCTAAGCTCTAAGGGCCTTCTGGCAGTTCCCTCACTGTGAGAAGTAAGTTACAGGAAACCAGGCAGAGGGCCTTCTTGGTAGCAGTGACTGCCCTGTGGAATGCCCTCCCATCAGATGTCATACAGATCAATATCTATTTGACTTTTAGAAGACATCTGAAGGCAGGGACATTTTTAATGGTTGATGTTTTACTGTGTTTTCAATATTTTGTTGGGGGCCACCCAGAGTGACTGGGGCAACCCAGTCAGATGAGTGGCATATAAATATAATGATCATGATAATGATGATGTTGATAATAATAATAATAATAAGGCGGCTATCAACAGCCACTAGCCATAGTATCTATGTTCCACCTCCACAGTCAGAGGCAAGATGCCTCCAAGTCAGTTGCTGAGAACCACAAGTGGCGAGAGCAGCATTGCAGAGTGGAACCTCGGTTTCCAAACGTACAGTGGTACCTCGGGTTAAGTATTTAATTCGTTCCAGAGGTCCGTACTTAACCTGAAACTGTTCTTAACCTGAAGCACCACTTTAGCTAATGGGGCCTCCTGCTACTGCTGCGCTGCTGGAGCACGATTTCTGTTCTTAACATGAAGCAAAATTCTTAACCCGAGGTAATATTTCTGGGTTAGCAGATTCTGTAACCTGAAGCGTATGTAACCTGAAGCGTATGTAACCCGAGGTACCACTTTAATCCGTTCCAGAAGACTGTTCGACTTCTGAAACATTCGAAAACCGAGGTGCAAAGGGTGGCCTGCCAATTCAATAGTGAAAATTGTGAAAAACAACAGATACACGCAGCGGAATCCATTCAACTTTGAAAACGGAAGCATTTACTTCTGGGTTTTCAGTGTTTGGAAACCGAAATGTTCAGCAATGGAGACATCTGAAAACCGAGGTACCACTGTACTCAGGTCATGCTTGTGGGCTTCCCAGAGGCATCTGGCTGGTCTCTCTGAGAAGAGGACCCAGCAGCCTCTTCTTACATTTAAAGATATTTATATGCAAGCAGCAACCCAGAAATTTTAGCAACAGTTTTGAAACTAGCTTACTTTTAACACAACAGGAAGCTAGCTTAAGGGCTCATTTCTGCTTGTGCCATGTCTATAAAGCACCAGTCTGAGCTGTTTTCTGCTTGATGCATGCTTTCTAGGCATGGGGTCTGAGTGTTTCCCTGCTTGCCTCGCTCTTTTTCAAGGGAAAACCCACTCTTTAGCAACAGATCAGAACAAATGGCAATCTGGGGGAAATCCCAATTGCCACTGAGCGATAAAGCACAGTTTTCCCAGGCACAAGAGGAAGTGTGAATAAGCCCTAAGTCACCCCAGTTGTCAAGAGATGGAGATTTCTTCATGCAGCATCAAGCATTTCCTTGAGGGTCTCCTTTCCACATATTGTCTGCTCTTACCTGTAAGAGTCAACTTAATGGAGCTCTTAGAAAGTCTGAAAGGCGTTTGAAGTATCAATTGTCTCCCTTTGTTTGATATCCTGATAAATTTTTTAAATTGCCTCTTTATCTGTCCCCTCCTTGCTCAATTAATAAAACCCACAAGATCAGCAAGGTTATAATTATAAGTTATAATTAACACCACCAGCGAAGCATTTCTTTGACAAATTGCAGAAACCAGCAAAGTAACTCAACTGGAAAAGAGCAGAAAAACCTACTGGATCATGATCAGCAGTGGCTGGTGCCCCTTGGGACTGGTGGAGTGGAAGGCAGTGATGTCCACCAGTAGGTGGAGCCAGAGACAATGGTAGGCGGAGCTAACTAATTTCACTCATGCTCCCATCCTCCTCCTGTCAGGCTTCAGGGAATCTGATTCCCTTCCCTCATGGCAGGTTGCCAGTAACAGAAAGACAAGAAGCTCTTACCAATGTCTTTATTCAATATTGATAGAGAGAGAGGCGTAGAAATCTAGCCTCTTTGGTAGTGGCATTGCTCCGAGTCATCTCCTTCTCAGTTGTCAACAGTTCTACCCCACTTACGGTGGCTGCTAAGGGCCAATTGTCTCTTAGTTCTCTGCTCTCCTACTTTCATTGTTTGCCAGGTTCTGGGAGGAGGGGGGCGTCTGGAATGCTCTGTACAGTCATACCTCATGTTATGTTTGCTTCATGTTACTTTCTTTCAGGTTACGTCCCGCGGCGACCCGGAAGTACCGGAAAGGGTTACTTCCGGGTTTCGACGCTCGCACATGCGCACAAGCGCCAAATCATGCCGCGCACCTGCGCAGATATGGCACTTCAGGTTGCACTCTTTTCATGTTGCGAATGGGCCTCCGGAACGGATCCCGTTCGCAACCAGAGGTACCACTGTAGTGATAATGTGTCAGCCAGCTGTTCCTACTTCTCCCATTATTTCCCAGCTTTGCCCCTCTTCTGTCTCTGAGCTGTGACCCTCTGCAAACCACCATTGTAAATCTATACTGTCCTCCTCTTCTCAGGAGGTTCAGGAGAAGGGGGAGGCGGTCTCCACCATTCCTCCTCTGATTTCCAGTCCCTGACACCTCCCTACAGAGTTGTACCATGACAAAGCGTGTTCTCCCTCATGGAGAGCACGTGTTGCGGTGGGGGCTGACAAGACACCTCACTGTTGCTGGGCAAAAGAGTTTGGCCATCTTTAAGCAGGGGTGGGCTGTTACTGGGGAGATTTATATGTTGCCATTTATTGATTGACAGCCCTGTTTGTTAAATACTCTGCACGCAGCAACGAGCGTCCTCTTTTTGCTGTGTGCTTCGGTTCACCCTCCCTCCCTCCCTAATGTTAGTCTGTTTGCTTGACTTTGCTATGCCTGTCATGGGGTCGTCTGCTTTTGGGGCAGGGGCCTGGTAGGAATTTTGTCCATTTGGCTGATTGGCTGGTGCCATTTGGTTTTTGCCTACTGCGTAGTAAATCGTCACAACTTGTTAGGTTACGGTTAGGCATTGGTTTGGGAATTGGTTGGTGGAGGGGTATGGATTGGCTGTGCCTGCCCCTCCAAAATGCTGCTGCTGCTGCTTCAAGGGTTTTCCGTTAAAGGAACCCAGGGGCTCACCATGCTTTTGTCCGAACCCCCTGGCAAGGGGCTAGGGCCACGCAAGAGCCCCTGGGAGCATTTGGGGAGAGGTGAGGCATGGTTCCCAGTCCCGTCTCTCTCCCTGGGTGACTTACCCTTTCTGACTTCGCGGGGGGTGCGAATGTCAGACTGTACCCGTGTGGGGTCAGTTAGTCGCTACCAATGCCTAAGCAACCACTCACACTGCTGTATTTTTAATAAAGTTGTGGCCAAAATTATGCCAAAAACCTTAAACAAAAATCAAGTGTCATTGTGTTCTTATCTGGGGTGTCTTGGGGACCTTGACGCGCAACGGTGAGACTATGCAAGAGGAAAAAGCTGGCATCCAGGACCACCCTCTAAGACTAGTTGGAAGTAGGAAGGCAGGCAAGTGGTGGTTGGCTGGGGACAGACAAAGGGATTAGCCACCACTGAAAGATAATCAAAGCAACACATGCATAGGAGCTGAGTTTCCTGGCTCTGGCTATAGTCCTGCACAGTTTAGGCTGCCCAAAGCTACCACTTTCATTACAGTTTCAGAAGCCTAACACTGTTCAGGAAGGCTGTTACTGTGCCCACAGCAGGAGGTGCTCATATGGCTGCAGTTTAAATATTGTGACTCGCACAGCTTGCAGATTCATCATGTCCAAAGATAACACGCTTGTACGGCACAGCAAATTTAAGAAAGCATTGGTCTTTTTCCTCATCACTGAGTATTTATTATATATAACAAATACATGAAAAAGGAAAAAAAAACTATATTGTGTGATATAAATAGTTTATTTACATTACAGAAAAAACATCAAGACAATGTATACTATTTCAAATATATCCATACATAATCAAATATAGCTGTAGTACATGTTTTTTTTTCATTGGTGTAGATTACCACAAATGCAAGGCAACATGTGTAGATCTTTTTGTCTATAATACTGTATTATTTTTTTTTGAAAGTCCAACCTCTCTGCAGTTTACTTTTTGCCATTGTGGAAACATGCTCTCATTTAAATTAACCTGGTCGATGCTCTTGTTGTGTTGTCTGAACTGTAGTGCCCTGTGTTTTGCTTCTGCCTGTGAATTCGGTTGCTCCTGGGACATTTCCTGCAAGCAAGAGGGGAAAGGGGTGGGGGAGAGAGAAAAAGAGCATGGAATTTGCTTTGCTAAACGACAGTGGAGGTAACGTAAGGATTGCAGGCCACGGAAGGGCAACTGCCAACAACGGCGGTCGGTACAACTCATCATTCCTTAGCTGCACAGCTCCAGAGCTTTGTAAAAAAAGAGTCAAAGGCCTCCTGCACTCTTTCAGAGCCCGTTCTTCAAACAGGAGCCTGAAATAGCCAAAATCATTTCCCGTAGGACACTGCCTGCCTGCAACGAGGGTTATATTAATGCACTGGTTTAAAGACCCACCACAAGCAATGCGGCTATGAGACCTTTGGAAAATGTACACACATTCATCAGGGGCAGTTTAATATTTCTCCCAAACATCCTCCCAGCTATGAAAGCACAAATAAAAGAAACAATCGTTGCTTTTCCCTACATTGGCTAACTTAGAATGTACTATTGCATTTCGGGAAGCACAAAGGCACCTCAGATATAAATGACTGTCAGCTCTGCAAATGGATTCTCTTTGTCTGCTCTGTGTTGGTTCGAAACCTGAATTATTCCCCTGTGGGGATACAAGCATAACAAGACAATGTACGTTTGGGGTATACGTATTTACATTAAAAAAACCGAACAAACCAGGAACACTTCCTTGTGCAACAGGAAGCGCTTTCCATTCATGCAATGGTACCGCTGGATCCAAATCGTAGTAAATGTAACTATCCGTCTATGACTAGAGAACAGTGCTTTTTTCCTGGGGGAGGGGGGGACGAAGGGGTATTTTACGGAGGTAAATATTTTGTGAATCTTTGTACTTTTGTCCATTTACTGTATTTATTTTCCCCAATTTTAACTATAAAATGGTGGTTTTCTTGAGCCAGAATGAGAGTACTCCTAAACATTTTATATTTTAGAAAAGAAGCACTGCTAGTGAATAACAGCGTGCAGCTGGGACTCATAGACTTACAGAAAAACAACAACAGCTTCCTAAATTTACCCTGGTTAACGTATATATCCACATACCCTCCAACATGCCACGGAGGGGACTTGTGCGACAGCACTGCCCCCCCTCCAAAATGGCCGTCTTTGGAAGCAGAATGGCTTCTGTAATTCCGGTATGTTCCACTTAAAGCAGGACAGTTGAGGAGCATGCATCTAGATGTAGCCACTTTCTTTTTAATTACTGTATTTTTCGCTCTATAAGACGCACTTTTTCCCTCCTAAAAAGTAAGGGGAAATGTGTGTGCGTCTTAGGGAGCGAATGCAGGCTGCGCAGCTATCCCAGAAGCCAGAACAGCAAGAGGGATCGCTGCACAGAGATCCCTCTTGCTGTTCTGGCTTCTGGAATTCAAACATTCCTTGTTTTCCTCCTCCAAAAACTAGGTGTGTCTTATGGTCTGGTGCGTCTTATAGAGCGAAAAATACAGTAAGTATCTGGAATGCCTGCCTGTCAACCAGGCTGCTAAATTCCCTCCCCTCCCCTCCTCAGTTAAGAACATAGGAAGTTGCCTTATACTGAGGCCCCATTTAAAGCACTATGATACCACTTCAAAAAGTTTTGGCTTCTCCCAAATCATCCTGGGAACTGCAGTTTGTCAAGGATGCTGAGAGTTTTCAGGAGGTCTCAATTCCCAGGGTTTCCTGAGTAGAGTGACTGATTGTGAAACACTCCGGCAATTGTAGCTGTGTGAGAGGTGCCTTTGGGCACCAGTTCGGTGAACCTTGTTGTACACTAACTGAGAAGACCTCTCCTCCCAGAGGGGAGAGGTTGTGTGTTCAGTCCCCTGCACCAGCCTTCCTTCAGCTGCCGCGCCATGCCCAGCTGGTGGGCAGAGTCTAGCTGCATTTAACTAATCCAGAATGCGGCAGCTAGACTGGTGACTGGGAGCAGCTGCCGAGACCACATAACACCGGTCTTGAAAGACCTACATTGGCTCCTAGTACATTTCCGAGCACAATTCAAAGTGTTGGTGCTGACCTTGAAAGCCCTAAACGGCCTCAGTCCTGTATACCTGAAGGAGCGTCTCCACCCCCATCACTTAGCCCGGACAGTGACGTCCTTCTCTGAGGGCAATCTGGTGGTTCCCTCACTGCAAGAAGTGAAGTTACAGGGAACCAGGCCTTCTCAGCAGTGGCACCTTCCCTGTGGAACAACCTCCCATCAGAACGACACAACTTTTAGAAGACATCTGAAGGCAGTCCTGTATTGGGAAGTTTTAAATGTTTGATGTTTTACTATGTTTTTATATGTATTGTAAGCTGCCCAGAGTGACAAGGGAAACCCAGTCAGATGGGTGGCATATACATAAGACGTTGTTGTTGTTGTTGAATAGGATATCCCTATTTTCATTGGAGACATGTTGGGAGGTATGTATATTTTGTGTATGCATATTTATTCATTTCTGTTTTCTTGCATTTGTATCTTGCCTTTCTTCCATTATGGCACCCAAGATGACCAGGCCCAGACCTGCTTAGCTTCAGTAAGGTGGCAACATCAAGTGCCTTCAAACCATCTCTCTCTCTCTCTCTCTCTCTCTCTCTCTCTCTGTGTGTGTGTGTGTGTGTTTAACTAATAATGACTGGAGCACCACAATATATTTGTTACTGGATGTAACACGCACCAAGTTTTGCAAAGGCTAAAGAAAAAGGAAATGAAGAGCTTATGCAAATGAAAAAGTTTAAGGGCATCAGCTTTTGGGTATCCTTTTATCTACAACACAGTCTAAATTAAATCCACTGGAAAGGCAGGGTCCATGTAAAACCAAACCATTTTCTCTGAACACAAACCGTTAACTTGCTTTATGGCTTGAAGTTAACAAACCTGGAGCCACTCAGAAGATTGCTTGAACAACATGATGTAGTGCCATTTTTCTGTTGAGCAGTTACTTTCCCATCTCCGTCCTTTTTATGTACACTGTATTTCTGGCCGTTTGAATTATCTCCATGTTCCCTGAAACCCACTTTAATATAATGCATTGCCTTCTTGCAGGAGAAGATCTACTCTTGAGGGTAGAGTTGATGAACTCAACTAGGTCGGCAAGCATCTCCAAGCTTCTGCAGACATTTTTCTATTATGCCTTTAGGCTGGGAAAGGATATATGAATTATTTTCTACCTTCTTCCGGCCTGAATGTCACGCTTGTCCTCTGAGCGTAGTGAGAGGAGGATGCTTAGATATATTGGTGCTTTTTTTACTTTCTATAGGAGTGTGATGCCTGCTTCTTTTTAAAATTCTCATCTTTTTGGGAAAGGGATTTATTTTTAAGGCGCCTGATTTATTGAAGCAGCTGCAGGACACCTGAAGCAGTTTCACCTTCTCTCACCTGAGGAAGAATCCCAGGGAAGTCGTGAAGCTGGAGAAAACTCTGAAACTTACCCATCACATGGTAAAGAATGGACATTGGTATTTATGAATGGATGGAACTCACAACTGCCTTACAGAGACCGCCCATTGCTCGATCTCCAAGCTCTCAGTTGCTTGAGATCTTTTTAAGTTGAAGGCTGGACCTGAGTCCTTACTTGTAAGACTGACAGTGTAAACAGCACATATCCTTTTAAATTCCAAAGTCAAGCCCACTTGGCATTCAAATCCATACCAGCATTTGCTTGGCACTCTATGCATTTTAAACACCCGTCTCTTCCTGAAGAAGTACAGAGTAACTCCTGAGAATGCAAACACTGATAATCCCTGAGCTATTAAACAAAAAGCTTCCTTTTGAATTTTCTACCATTGGGGAAACCGCCTTCCATACCTGTCAGTCTGCCAAACAAACCCCATGTGTTGTAAAAGATGCCGATGCATCTTCTAGGGGGCAGTTATGGAGTGCTTGTCTGGCTCGTGGGCTTCACCAATGGCCCACAGGGACCAAGAGATCACGCTCTGACTCTTTGTGACCCCATGGACCAGAGCATGCCAGGCACTCCTGTCTTCCACTGCCTCCCGCAGTTTGGTCAAACTCATGCTGGTAGCTTCGAGAACACTGTCCAACCATCTCGTCCTCTGCCGTCCCCTTCTCCTTGTGCCCTCCATCTTTCCCAACATCAGGGTCTTTTCCAGGAAGTCTTCTCTTCTCATGAGGTGGCCAAAGTATTGGAGCCTCAGCTTCAGGATCTGTCCTTCCAGTGAGCACTCAGGGCTGATTTCCTTAAGAATGGAGAGGTTTGATCTTCTTGCAGTCCATGGGACTCTCAAGAGTCTCCTCCAGCACCAGAATTCCAAAGCATCAATTCTTCGGCTATCAGTCTCCTTTATGGTCCAGCTCTCACTTCCATACATCACTACTAGAGATCACGCTAGCACTACATGATGACATGTTGCTGAGAAAGATGGGTGGTGCTAGACAAGTTGCCTTTCAGGGAAGCTTATCTGCCATTACAGATCTTCAGACCGTCTGGGTGTCCCTATTTTCCAGGGACAGCCCTGGATTTACAAAAGCTGTCCTGTTTTCTGATTTGATCCCAGAAAGCCCCGCTTTTTCTTAGGAAATATTGGAGGGTATGGAGTATTGTGACCCCGGTGCTAAGGAGATAAGTGACTATACAACCTTCAGAAGACATCAGAAGAAATCTGAAGGCAGCCCTGTAGAGGGAAGTTTTTTTATGTTGAATGGTTTTTTATGTTTTTCTGTGTGTTGGAAGCTGATTTTCATCAGCGAAATGTTGGAGGGTATGGAGTTATCTGGCACCTGAACCGTATGAAGGCAGCCCTGTACAGGGAAGTTTTTTAAAAAATGTTAAAATACAAGCATATTTTCTATGCTTGTATATATGTGTATATATGTCGGAAGCCACCCAGTGTGGCTGGGGAAACCCAGTCAGAAGGGTGGGGTATAAATAAAATTATTATTATTAGTAGTAGTAGTATGGAATAGGACATCCATATTTTCATAGGTTGTTACAATAATCCTGCCTATGTTTTTATCTGTTTATAGTTTATCTGTAAATATTCAATAAACCATTTCCATTCTTTTATTTAAAATGCTTATTCTTTCGGTAAGTTTCACCATTTCTGCATATTCCATAAATTTTTGTATCCATTCTCCCTTTGCTGGGACTTCTGCTTCTTTCCATTCTGGGGCAAGTAACATTCTTGCCGCTGTACTAGCATACATGAACAAGTTTCCATACAGCTTAGGTAGTTCTGTCCCTATAATTCCCAAAAGAGAAGCTTCTGGGTTTTTTTTACAAAGGTTATTTTAAACATCCTTTTCATTTTATTATATATCATTTCCCAGTAAGCTTTCACCTTACTACAAGACCACCACATATGACAAAAAGAACCTTCTTTCTCATTACATTTCCAATGCTTATTTGATTTAGATTTATACATTTTTGCCAACTTTATCTTGGTAAGAGCACCTTGGCCTCATTACTAACCTTGTAATGCAGAGGACTACGACGCAGATGACAGCAATCTGGATAGTTCCAATCACTGCTGCTATTAAGACGTACTGAAATCGTACAGGGCCAGGAACCACATATAAAACGCTGTAGTCCTTTTTTTCACAGTGTTCTCCAGTGTAGCCTGCGTCACACCTAGAATGGAAAGAGACACGTTGACTCCTTCCCTTGCGCTAGTTCATAGCTGCATTGCATGAGCCACAAACCAGGCATTGCCAGAGAGATGCTGTGTTGCAACTGCACAAGAATGATGCGTGGCAGCTTGGGGTGTAAGAAGGCAGCCATTTCCATTCCAACCCGTCTTCGTCACAATCAGCACCGTTTCCATTCCTCTGCAATTCAATTCCCACCAAATACTGCTTTATTCATTTGGCTGCCTGCTGCTTATTGTAATCTATGCAAGTACAGTGATACCTCGGGTTAAAAACTTAATTCATTCTGGAGGGCTGTTCTTAACCTAAAACTGTTCTTAACCTGAGGTACCACTTTAGCTAATGGGGCCTCCCACTGCCGCCATGCCGCTATCGTGTGATTTCTGTTCTCATCCTGAAGCAAAGTTCTTAACCCGAGGTACTACTTCTGGGTTAGCAGAGTCTGTAACCTGAAGCTTCTATAACCTGAAGCATATGTAACCCGAGTTACCACTGTATTTTCGTACCTTAGAAAGGGTTGTGAATTTAACGTACCATATTTTCTCGTGTATAACACACCCCCGTGTATAAATTTAGAAAACTGGGGAAAATTGCCCAGAGCTGCTGAGCTTTTTTTGAGGAGGGATGCCCAGAGTTGTTTTGACAGCAGAAACAGCCAATCGACAGCAGCCCTAGCCACATACACCAATCAACAGCACAATCGCCTCTGGGATCCTGCTGCTCATCAATTCCCCATCCCCAATCTGCACTATCCATATATAAGACAACTCCCAATTTTTGAGATTCTATTCTCATAGAAACAGCTCGTCTTATACATAGAAAAGTACGGTAAATAATGACACAATTACTTTCACGCCGTTCATTTCAGTACAAAGGAAACAGAATTGAAAGGCGGGGGCGGGGGCGGGGCAGGACATTGATTACTTATCGCTTGTGGACCAAAAAGAATAAGACCAGCGAATACTGGACTGATGTCTGTTTTGTACATGGGATGAATAAATGAGCACTGACAATTTCTTTTTTCTTCGGAATTCACTGACACTCCTAGCCGCAGCTACTTTGTATATCTTACAAGATAACCAAGGAACTTTCTCTATGCCTCAGTTACTTTGGGGATATAAGAGGGTTGGAGGTGTTGCTGTTGTTGTTGTTTGGTACTTTTATGATGATTTCCTATACCAAAACCAAAATTTTAATGTGTGTCACGCTGATATTTGTAGGAAATGCCTCCTGGAAGAAGCTTAATTTGTTCTAGGCAACTGCTCTCATTTTGAAGTTGATGTATTTGATTTATGTATGTATTCTGTTTATGCTTTGCTTCTCATAAAACGTCCCCAAATGATTTAACAATAAAAAGATCAGCAATCACACACGCAGAGAGACGATTTCAAGTCCAATGCAGATACAGACTGAAATAAAGGTCTCCATTTAAAAAGCTAGTTGGAAAAAGGTATTTTTATTTCTTTAATAAGCAAATGAAATGTTTGTTTGTTCGTTTATTATACCCGGCCCACCATTCAAATTTTCAGGACTGCTTACAATCATTCTAAACATAAAAAACAAGATGCAAACACTGTGTGCAATCTCCGGTGCCAGAGGCCGGATGCCTCTGAGTAAAATAAATGCTAAAGGACCCCTGGATGGTTAAGTCCAGTCAAAGGTGACTACAGGGTTGTGGCGCTCATCTTTCTTTTCAGGCCGAGGGAGCTGGCGTTTGTCTGCAGACAGCTTTCCGGGTAATGTGGCCAGCATGACTAAACTGCTTCTGGCACAATGGACACCGTGACGAGTGCCAGAGGACATGGAAGCACTGTTTACCTTTCCGCCGGAGTGGTACCTATTTACCTACTTGCACTGGTGTGCTTTCAAACTGCTAGGTTGGCAGGAGCTGGGACGGAGCAATGGGAGCTCACCCCATCACGGGGATTTGAACCGCCAAGGGGGGCGCTGCCCGTGGCGAGCATCCCGGGGGCAGTGGCAATGTCACCCCCCCTCAGGGGGACTGCACCCACCGCATCCCCCTTCCTCGGCCAGTGGTTGTTGTAGCTCTCAAGTTCTGCTGGGTTTCTTGGGACAGTAGCTGTTGGCTGAGCGTGAGGAATCAACAGATAATTAGGGTTGCTGAGCTTTTTTGGGGAGGATTGAGTTTTTTTGGGGGGAGGGACAAGGTTGTTGCGCTCCCCCCCTTATTTTTGGGCCCAAGTTGTTGAGCTATTTTTATGGAAATTTGCCCCAAAAACCAACTCTTCCAACATAGTTTGCCATACGCCCGGGTTTTCATGGACATTTTTACCCAATTTTTGGAAATTCCAAATGTGTGGCAGCCCTAGGATAATGCCTGGCAAGCAAGCCTGTGCTCTTAGGAGCCTTTAAAGGGCTGCATCAACATACGTTGCAGGAATGCATTTCTAAACAGCTTAATGGCGCTGCATAATTTAGCGCAGTTTTACTACATTCATTAGGTGCCTCGTTACATAATTTAGATCCAGAGTGGATGGGGTCTTGGCAATTATTATTTTCCTTGCTGTATCAAGATAGCGTGTGTTAGCAAGTGTGCCTGTTCAGTTTATCATTAGCTGCTCGGTTTGGGGAAAGTGTTACCTGCAAGATGGTTCCAGCATATTAGCAGAGTGTTCACATTTTCCATGCATGCAGAAGCCGTTATAATGTTCTGGACAAGGAATGTAGATTCCCCTGGCGCTTTCTTCAAGTTTGTTGGCATTCTCTGTAAAGACAGATGAAAAAGAAAACCAACCTGTAAGTGTGTAGCATGGTGAAGAAACAACAACAAAAGACATATTTGCTTCAGTGTACTGCATAACAGATTGAGATTGCATGCTGACAAGGCAGAAGTACTGTTTTTGGGGGACAGGGGGCAGGTGAGTGTGGAGGACTCCCTGGTTCTGAATGTGGTAACTGTGCCCTTGAAGGACCAGGTGCACAGTCTCGGAGTCATTTTGGACTCACAGCTATCCATGGAGGTGCAGGTCAATTTGTGTCCAGGGCAGCTGTCTACCAGCTCCATTTGGTACACCAGCTGAGACGCTACCTGCTCACAGACTGTCCTGACAGAGTGGTGCATGCTCTGGTTATGTCCCACTTGGACTATTACAATGCACTTTACTTGGGGCTAGCTTTGAAGGTGACTTGGAAACTACAACTAATCCAGAATGCGGCAGCTAGACTGGTGACTGGGAGTGGCCACCAAGACCATATAACACTAGTCCTGAAAGACCTACCATATTTTTCGCTCTATAACACGCACCAGACCATAACACGCACGTAGTTTTTAGAGGAGGAAAACAAGAAAAAAAATATTCTAAACAAAATAGTGGATATATGATTTTTGTGGTTCATGCTGTGGCCACAGACATGTGATCTGACAGTGAGTTTGGAGTAGCCCAATGCAAAAATCCTGAGGATCCATGTGGATCCATGCTTTGTAACCATGGAGGAGGGAAGGAAGGGGAACCATGGATCCTCTGCTCACGACTGTAGCAGATCCCCCCCGCCACCCGCAGGCATTCGCTCCATAACACGCACAGACATTTCCCCTTACTTTCTAGGAGGAAAAAAGTGAGTGTTATGGTGCAAAAAATACGGTACATTGGCTCCGAGCACAATTCAAAGTGTTGGTGCTGATCTTTAAAGCCCTAAACCGCCTTGGCCCAGTATACCTGAAGGAGGGTCTCCACCACCATCGTTCAGCCTGGACACTGAGGTCCTGCTGCTAGTCCCTCATTGCAAGAAGTTAAGTTACAGGGAAGCTGGCAGAGGGCCTTCTCAGTAGTGGCGCCCGCCCTGAGGAAAGCCCTCCCATCAGATGTCAAAGAAATAAATAACTATCTGACTTTTAGAAGACATCTGAAGGCAGCCCCATTTAGGGAAGTTTTTAATGTTTGATGTTTTATTGTGTTTTTAATATGCTGTTGGGAGCCGCCCAGAGTGGCTGGGGAAACCCAACCAGATGGTGATGATTAAAGAGCAAATACTTTAGGCTCTCATTTAAGTGCAAGAGGATATACTGCAATAGGTTAGCACTTTTAGAAAGGTGTGTATATTTAAATGAATGTTTCCCGAGAATGAAGTAACATGCATGAGGAGGGTTGCAAACTTGTACAGTACAGTAGTATCTCGGGTTGAGAACTTAATTCGTTCTGGAGGTCTGTTCTTAACCTGAAACTGTTCTTAACCTGAGGTACCACTTTAGCTAATGGGGCCTCCCGCTGCTGCACTGCCGCCCAATTTCTGTTCTCATCCTGAATCAAAGTTCTTAACCCGAGGTAATATCTCTGGGTTAGCGGAGTCTGTAACCTGAATCGTATGTAACCTGAAGCGTATGTAACCTGAGGTACCACTGTATCTCTAATTCATGGGAATGAGCCTGTCAAAGTAATCCCCTTTTACAACCCATTGATTCGGGGAGAGAGTCAAGCATATTCAGAGCTCACTCCCGCTGGAATTAAGGAAAGACATCAATAAGAACATTGTTAGCTGCTTTATGTCAGTTTGAATTCTTTGTCAATATATCCCAAATATGCCTGCTCTGGAAGGCAGCAGTTCTCCACAATTTCATTCTCAGTTCCACCCAGAGATGTCAGGGATCGAATCGGGGACCTTCTATCACCGAGCTAAGGTAAAGGTAAAGGGACCCCTGTCCATTAGGTCCAGTCGTGACCGACTCTGGGGTTGCGGCGCTCATTTTGCTTTACTGGCCGAGGGAGCCGGCGTACAGCTTCCGGGTCATGCAGCCAGCATGACTAAGCCGCTTCTGGCGAACCAGAGCAGCGCACGGAAACACCATTATCTTCCCGCCGGAGTGGTACCTATTTATCTACTTGCACTTTAATGTGCTTTCGAGCTGCTAGGTTGGCAGGAGCAGGGACCAAGCAACGGGAGCTCACCCCGCCGCAGGGATTCGAACCACCGACCTTCTGATCGGCAAGTCCTAGGCTCTGTGGTATAACCCACAGCGCCACCTGCATCCCTATCACCGAGCTAAGGCCCTTCCTCAAATATACAACTGTATTGCAACAGTCCGAGGCCTGTAAAGGCAGGTTTGGCTTTACAATCCAAGCTGCTAAGGCAATATGAGATCATAAGTCAAAAGAGGATTCATTCTTTATTCAGGCATATGCATTAAGCAATACTGAGTGTGAATGCAACAGAAAATATTTACTGTTCTCTGGCTGCAATATTTAGATTGATGTAATGTGTTTAAATTCCAAGAGACATCTGCAGCATCCTTACTAATTTTGCAAAAACATATAGAATTGACAATTATGCTTGATAAACACATTTCAAAACCTCTCTTCTGGGATAAAAATGCTTAGGTAGGGCAGATTTCACCCCCAATGTGGACTTGGCAATCAGCTCATTTGTATTCTGTTACATGTACATGAAACTGCATTGTTCTGTTATGCCTTTTCTAAGGTGTAAATGGTGAACATGTGGCCCTCCAGATATTTCTGAACTACATCTTTCATTACTCCTGAGCATTAGGTAAAAGGGTAAAAGGTAAAGGACCCCTGGACAGTTAGGTCCAGTCAAAGGTGACTGGGGTTGTGGCGCTCATCTCGCTTGTCTGAGGCAAAGGACAAGATCTGTCCTGCCAAATTCACATGCAGAAGCCGACAAAGTCTAGCAGTTGAATCTCATTCCAACACTGAACTGCAAGCAAAGCTTAGCTGTATCTTCCACCAGAGGGGAACAGCCAACACCATCAACAGTTGCCACTTGAGGCAGCTGCCTCACTCTGCCTAATAGCTAGGCTGGCCCTAAGTGACAGGAAGTATATTCTAACCTTCTATAAGTAGTTGTAGGGATATCGCGGAGTGGAGAGTGAGGTCCGGAGGGAGCACACTCCCCACCAGCAGGCAGTCACAGTCTGCCTGCACGCGTGACCCTGGGGTGCAGGGAAAACCCCCCCTCAGACAAGCCACGGCTGTCGGAACATCGTCCCCTACGTCTGACCTTTTGCGTTCTCAGCAGTCAGCGGTGTCCTGTCTGTAACCTTTGTCCCTGAGACCTTCTGTCTCCTTCGTCATACACTGTGCAAGGGGAAAATGACGCTGTGGAAACAGGTGCCAAAATATCTTTGTACCACCCCACGATCTTGGGATGGAATATGTGTAAAGGTCACAGCCCAAAAATGTATTTGCCTGGCTTGCATATTTGTCTCAATAAAAGGAGGCTCCACAGGAATGGCAGCATCTCGCTTCAGCCCACCTGTGCGCAGCTCACATGATGATCAACACCTGTCTTGGGCCTTCACTTCAGTAGTAGTAGTAGTAGTAGTAGTAGTAGTAGTAATAATAATATGCCCAGAAATGCTGGCATGTGTTTCCAACACATATAAAAGCATAATAAAATGCCAAACATTAAAAACTTCCTGATACAGGGCTGCTTTCAGATGTCTTCTAAAAGTTGTGTAGTACATTCTACTATGGATATCTGACAGGTTCAGAAATGAAACAGCCCACGTTTTTACTAATGCTTTTTATGATGCTGTATCTTATAATCTGTACAGGAGAGAACATGATGGATTTTAGAAATAAACTCTCTCCCATCCCTTTTCTGATTAGAGCCTCTTCCACAGCAATCAACTACTGAGTCCTAAGATTTCCCTTTCTTTATCTTATCAAGTGAAAAGCTAGAGTCTCATTGAAAGCCTCATTTCGAAGTGTGATCTGCAATTTTCACTTGTCCCTGGAGCCAGATGATGATCCTGAACACCATGAAAGCTCAAGTTCACGCAATGTTAGGAAATTCCAGAGAAATTATGAGATATGGTGAAACTCTGATAAACTTTGGCCCCAGTCCAGATATAATTGCATGCAGCTAGGCACCAGCTCCCGAATTGTCTTGTATCTAAAGTAAGGTGTATTGTCTTGCACTCTGATAAGGTGACACCATGGCCTGTATCCAAGTTATACTCAGAGTAGACCCATTGAAGCTAATGGGCTTAAGTCAGTCATGTATAACAATTTCAACAGGGCTCCTCTAACTAATACTGAATATACGTATTTTAATAAATTTCCGTCTAGCTGCAGATCTACATCCACATCTGTTCTACAGAATGACAGTGAATAGTAGCATTCCATGCTGATCTATGTTTGTAGATACCTGAATCTGTCCTTTCTACATAGGCATGGCATCATCAGTGTGGCTATATGTGTGCAGGGTAGGTGCTGCATCTATGCAGGCACCCTAACAAACAGACAAGCCAAGTGTTCAAAGGTTTTAGTTTTAACCATGAAGCCAAAGCTTTGACTGCAAAGCTCTGTTTGGCTCAAGAGACTGACCCAATCTGCTTCATGTTATTTTGAGGGTGGGGGGAAACCCTGATTGAATGTGAATTAATACATTGCATTTGGTAGGTAGCAGAATACGGAGCCTGATTATTGTTCCTCCGTTCCATGGCTAGAGTGAATGGTGGACTGGATGTGGGTGAATAAACTGAAAATATGTTCCTGGTGGGAGCTGGTATTTCTCCTGTTCTGAATGGGGTCACACTCTCCCTCCCACAAAGGAGCAGAGATGCAGTTTGGGCATGCTTTGGAGACCTGGATGTGATTCCAGGAATCACAGGGAGAAGCTGTGTCCTGGAGTACATTTTATCAGCTCACACCTAGAGAATGATCCCTAGGCACCATGATAAATGCCTTGGTCATCATCGGGCTGCTCTGCTGTCACTCATTCTGTGCCTTTGAAGACTGTTCAAAATGCAACAACCCAACTTATTAATGGGTCAATGAGGGCTAAAAGCACATATGCAGAGAAAACTGGAGTGCCTCTCAAAACTGGGGCACAATTAAAGGTTGATTTAAGATAGTAAAGCATTGGTCCATAATATTTCAATATATGCCCCCTCCCACAAGTCTACACGTACACTACAATCACTGGCTGGAACCCCATTCCAGTCCTCCATTTAATTTAATTTTGTTTTATTTTACATGATTTATATCTTGACCTTTGTCAAAAGGCCCCAGGGTGGTTCAGAACAATTGAAAACATGTAAACCAGTCAGAAAGTTAGAAACACAGTACATGGTTCAATTAAAAAAAAAGCTGGCTCCATTATTGCTGTACAGGTCATTCCCCCTTAGGATATTCAAAGGGTTGAAGGAAGAGGAAGGTGTTAAGTATAGTAATTTAATTCACTGAAATTGTAAATGCTTGTATGCATTGCTATGTGCTTGAAATTGATTGGTTGGCAACTGAATTCTAGAGCATTCTCTAGTAGTTCTCATGTGATTGAGTAATGTCGGCCGTATGGAATGTATCTAGTGAAGGAGAGAGACTCCATTTTATGTGAAGCAAGATGACTGTGTTTGGAATCCACTGTGAACACTGCTAAGTTGAATAGAGTGTTGGGATGCTTCTTCTGTGCTTGAGAGAAAGAGAGCAAAGATTCAGGAGAAGGTGAAAGTGGAAATCTCTCACAGGAGCTGCAAGACGTGGCCTAACTGAGATATAGAAGGCTGAGCTCTGGACAGAGAGGGAAATACAGTTGTTTGAAAGTTAGAAGAAGAGACTGTAAACCCATACTTGGGGAAGCATGTGATTGTAAATAATATGTTTTAATACACCTAGAACTACAAGTTTCTGCAAGTAAAGTTTTTGGATGTTAAAGTCTGGACACTGGTTTAATTTCCAAAGAAGGGTGTCAGTCACATATATGATTTGAGCTTCCTAGCTGCATTTTCACTACTCTTACTTCAACAGAAGGTAGCCAGCTGCTGCCAAAAGATGGACAGTATTGGCTCCAGTTGTGCCCTAGGGGGAAGCATATTCCAAAATTGAGGTGCCATTGCTGAGAAGGCCCTGTGGTGTCACAGACCCTTGAACAACAGTACGTTCAATGCTTACCAGAAGGGCCTTTCCAGTGGATCTCAAAGCATAGGGAGATCTGTGTATCAGGAGAGGCACTCCTTTAGGTAATGAGCCCAAAGGCATTCAAATAATACCCCCCACCAGATAATCTTAGGAACTGTGTTTGGGTATGTGCAGAAGCCTAAAGACAGTAATTTCTAAAAGGATAATGTCCAATCCATTTGATTCAAAAATACAATTTCAAGGAGAAATCTTTTTTAAAAAGTTGTTAGGCTGTTATTCTGAAGTTTGAACATGTACGATTTTCAGGCAGAGCATTCCTAAGATCATAAAAATGCATTTCAGCCTAAAAGAGAGTGACAGCCCACCACACATACTTAAACTTCACTTTTTCGCTCTTGTTCAGAGCCGCTGGCATTTGAGGAGAGCTAACTATATATATTGTAGCACTCCTCTCCTGACAGAGGCTTCCAGCATAATTTGAAAATCTGGTGTTATATATATATTTCTTCACTGAAGATTTTGAGAGTACCTCAGTTACAGTTCTGCTGATAACAATCCCTGGGACTGTGGGATATTGTGGATGTGAGGTGTTTTATTTTAGTTAAAGTTGGTTCCAAGTTATGTAGCCCTCAAGCTAAAGTGGTTAAAAGACACACATGAGTAAAAGATAAGGATATGAAAAGATCATACGGACAGTTCTATATCCAGCTGCTCTTTGGCTTGCCTGGCCTAGTATTGATTATGTTAAAGAATAATATCCTATGTTATTATGGAGAATCCTCAAAGTTGCTCATAATTAGGGGAAGATCCACTTTCTCATTTTCCCAGCCTTCAGTACAGTTCTCCGCATTTCCACACCAGCTTGCAATTTTTTAAAAAGTCCTAAACTCACCAGCATTTTAGTGCACATTTCTCCTAATATACACATTTGCATGCAAACTTGCCTAATACATGCATTTTTGCAAAGCAATTGTCTTTAAAGTGAGGTATTTTTCTATGGTATTTTCATTAACTCATGCATCTTTATGCACACCAAATGCATTTTGAACACATTACTTGGTTTGAGAACTGCATTGCAAAATTCAGAGAAGTGTGATTTTTCAAAGGATGGCTGTGTTCTTTGGTTCTCTTACGGTTTTCGAAAGCGCCAAATTAAGTAGTTTCCCCTTTAAATGCGAACTGAATCAGATTTCTCTTTCATTCCCACTCAGAGGCATAGCAAGGTCAGGTGGTAGCCGCTGTGAAAAAATTTGTCAAGCCCCCACATTGCAATTTTTGGGAAGGTTGCCCAGAGTTGTTGAGCTTCTTTTTTTAGGGAAGGTACCCCATAGTTGACGGGACGTGGGTGGCGCTGTGGGTTAAACCACAGAGCCTAGAACTTGTCGATCAGAAGGTCGGCGGTTCGAATCCCCACGACGGAGTGAGCTCCCGTTGCTCGGTCCCTGCTCCTGCCAACCTAGCAGTTCGAAAGCACATCAAGGTGCAAGTAGATAAATAGGTACCGCTCCGGCGGGAAGGTAAGTTTCCGTGCGCTGCTCTGGTTCGCCAGAAGCGGCTTAGTCATGCTGGCCACATGATCTGGAAGCTGTATGCCGGCTCCCTCGGCCAATAAAGCAAGATGAGCGCCGCAACCCAGAGTCAGTCACAACTGGACCTAATGGTCAGGGGTCCCTTTACCCTTTACCTTTACCCCATAGTTGCTGACGTTTTTAATGGGAGGGATGGTCACAAAACAGATATGCCCGCCAATCGTGAAAATACGACCATCGAGCTGGGACCCTCCGGCGGCCGGCACTCGCATCCACGATTGGCACAATTGTCAGGACAATCTGCCCATGGATTGCACAAATACACCCGGCGTGCGGCGCTGACAGTCAGGGATGCCAGCACCTCCTGCAGAATGCGAAAATATGGCTGCCAATCACATAAGACCGCCTGCTGGGGATGCGAGTGCCGCCCGCCAGGCTGTGTGAATGCCACCCGCCGGTGGGTGACAGGCTGATCGCCAGGCGTATTTGCGTGATCAGTGGGCGGATTTTCACAACGACGATCGTGCAAATCAGGAAAACCCACCCATCGGGGGTGCGAGCACCGCCACGCCAATCCGCTTAGGGGGAGTTTGTCACCACCCCTAGGCATGACACCCCGGGTGGACCACCCCCACTTGAAAGGTACCGGTACCCCCTTGAAAGGTACCGGGCACCACATATAAAATAATACAATACTCACAAATAATACAATACTCACAACATATAAAATAATACAAAACAGTATCAGTTGAACAGAAGACCCTAAAACATGCTCAAAGCATTATGAGCGCCAGAGTCCATAGCAGATGAAAATTACATTACAACTGTAGCAGAATGTAGGAGAATGAGATGCTAGAATGTGGAGCTTGTGAAATGGACCACACCACTTCAGCAGGACTGGCCAAAGACATTTTGGCATCTGTGGTAGAACCCAAAATGACGTTCTCCTCCCTACCAGTGAAGAAGGAGTGAAGGAAGAGCTACATCAGGAACAAGGGGGTAAGAAAAAATTGATAACAGGATCTGCTTCCCCACTGGAACATGCCGCCTGAGGCAATTGCCTCACCTTGCCTCATGGGTGGGTTGGTCCTGCACTTCAGATTGTGGGGGGGGGGGGATATGCTCCTTTGTGGTTGAAAATTTCCTTGAAAGCCTCTCCTCCTACCAGAGGGGAGGTGTTGTGAGCGGGAGCCGTTCCTCCGTTGGCAGGGGGGCATATTCGGCCCCCTGCGTCAGTTCCCCGGGTGCTGCCAATAGGGCTGGCTTAGGGGCGGGGTTTAGCCGCATTCAAGCAGCCGCGGCAGCCCTGTGTCCCCATTCTGCTGCCTGGAGTCGTTGGATCACTCGCCTGCCCTCCCTTTAGGTCATCTTTATGCTTTTGACCTTGCTATGGACTTTGGTTGGTTGCCCTGGTTGCCCAGGGGGCCTGGTAGGAATTTTTATCCACATGGCAAATTGGCACAAGCCTCTTGGTTTTTTGCCTACCTCATAGCAAATCGTCACAGCTTTTCAGGTACTGGCGGTTAGGCATTGGAATATGTGTCGTGTGTTGGAGGGCAGGTTGTGGCCATCACCTACCCCTCCCCTTCTTGGGTATTCCGTTAAAGGAATCCCGTGGTCATGGATCCTGTCCGATGCCCTGCTGGTGGCTAGGGCCATGGCATGGCCCCTGGTGATATCTGGGGAAGCTTCAGTTGTATTTGCATCAACAAGCTCCTCCCACTGGTTGTTAACCTTCAAATGACCCCCTGCTGCACGGGGTGGAGTCATATATAGTTTGCTTGATCCAATGCCTAAGCCAATACCACTCACATGCTGTAACTAATAAAGTTGTGGCCTTCTTTAGCCCATTAACCTAAAATACATGCGTCCTTGTGTCTTATTTATCCCTAAGCGGGTGGCGGGTCCTTGACTCACAAACAGAAGACCAACACATAGCAGGCGAGGCTAGAATTTGCTTTTCCTGTTTTCAATTTGCAGAGAGGTGTCTTTGTTTTGTTTTGATCCTGCCAGTCTTCCACCTCATTCTGCAGCATGTGTAGTAGATACAGTCTAATTTTCACCTTTCATGTTGAACACATACTGGACTAAAGAAGCTCATCAAGTCACTCTTTCTCCTTCTTCTCAAGGGCAACTGGGACTGTCAAAGCTGTCAATGCTGGCTATCTGAGTGAGAGCTAAGCAGACATAGGACTGCAGCCTCACCCACTCAATTTTATTATTTCAACCAAAAGCCATGACAAATTCCCTCCCACCGATGTAATCTGGTCATTCAGAAAAACACATTCCGTAGACATTCTGTATTACGGTAACTATTAGACTGAGGACTATTGCTGTAACGTCTGTAAAAAGCCAGGCTAAAAATGAAACTGCTTATTTTTTTTCTGTCACAATATTATAATTATTCATCCAGCAATGTTACAGAATATGATTTCAACATTAATCAAATTGTGGATTCATTGTGCTTGACAACTCATCTTCAAATGCCAAACTCTCCAAAGTCTTATTAGACAGGAAGGAATTATTTTCACATTTTTGAGGTAAGAGTAGTAGTAGTTTTTTTTTTTGTCCTTTGCTCAAACCAAATTCATACGGAACTAGCACAGAAGCCTCAAAATCTCGCACTAAAACATGTCTCTCTGTAAAAACAGCTTTATCTAAATTCTCTCCTTTTTCCAACATGTTAGCTAATATCTTGGCTTTGGATTTTGAAGCCAAAGCAGCCTCTTTTCTAATCATGATTAAGTTATTAACCCGATGAACAGGTAGAGGGAAAATGACGACAGCAGTGCTAAAATGGAGCTTGCCAAAGAGAAAGTAAAACAGCTTTTGTAGGTTGGGGTGCAAAAGGACCTTCTTTAGATGGGTGCCTAATGCCGGTGGCAGCTGGTACCCATAGGACTGGTTGGGTGGAAGGAGGAAGCAGTTGGGGGAAAGGTAAAAAGGTAAAGGACTCCTGGATGGTTAAGTCAAGTCAAAGGTGACTATGGGATTGTGGCGCTCATCTCACTTTCAATCCAAGGAGCTGGCGTTTGTCCACAGACAGCTTTCCAGGTATGTGGCCAGCATGACTAAACCGCTTCTGGTGCAACGGAACACCATGATGTACACCAGAGCACACAGAAACGCCGTTTACCTTCCCACCGCTGCAGTACCTATTTATCTACTTGCAGTGGCATGCTTTCGAACTGCTAGGTTGGCAGGAGCTGGGACAGAGCAATGGGATCTCACCCCGTCACAGGGATTCGAACCACCAACTTTCTGATCGGCAAGCCCAAGAGGCTCAGTGGTTTAGACCACAACCAATGACAGCAGAGCCAACTAATTCTCCCTACTGATGGGCGGGTAATAAATATATTTAATAAATAAACAAATAAAGAATAAATAGTTGTTCAACAGTGACATTAAGTGCACGTTCACACATGCAGACGCAACAGCCCATGACCCCAGCATCAAGAAGTGGCCTGCATGTGCAACGCCGATCAAGTACAGCTTTTGCACCAAATGACAATCGGGAGAATTTGCACGTTCAGCTGAGAAATACTTAGTGATCAATTCTGAAGCAAGGAAATATTGCATGATGTGTGCAAATCCATCAACCCAGATATTTCAGGAGGCAAGTGATGCCACTTTTGAGAGATCTCCCCTATCCTTTACCTTAAATATTTTGCATTCAAATATTTCCCTTTCAAAATATTTATAGGAAGCTAAAGCTTGATACAGCTTTATAGTTCTTCCATTTTGCTAGGCGACAATGTATTGCTGGTCTTCTTAACTTTCATTAATACTTGATCCAGCTAATACCATTTGTTTCATCTAGAAGAGACATTTGAACAGATAATGAATCAAATCCATCCTCTAGAGATTCGCCTGGCTTCAAGCCGTGTATTGAAGTACAACCATAGACATCACTTTCTTAATAATTAGCAACTGCTTTTTAGTGCTGCTAATAATTTCGAGATTTACAGCACAATCCAGTAGGAGGTAACTGAATTCAATGGGGATTATCAGGTAAGCATGGATAGGATTGCACACCACAGTATTACGGTCTCTCTCGAATGTTCCTCATCATTAACTCCCTGCCCACTTAGGTTGCTGTTCATAGACCTGTTAAAGTGTGAGGGCATAAAGGACGTAATGGAAATAGGAGCACCCCCATTTGCTCTGCCTCCAATGGTCTTGCCCACTCCACCCCAACCTTCCTGTGTTGAGAGGATAGATCTGGAGGGGGCTTCTAAGCTCATTTGGTTGAACAGGCTGAGAAGCCTCTTCAGGACTAGGAATCAGGGTTTCCTGCAGGGCACAGAAGAGTTGGGAATAGAGTGGGTGGGGCTGGCACATTCAGGGACATGAGGGGCAAGGGTGATACACACGTCCTCGCACCCTTTGCACACTTAATGCCCTCACAAGTTTCACTGAATGCCTGAAGGGGCTCTTATTTTACAGTGCAATCCAAGAAGCATCCTTGGTTCATTCTAAATTTGGACGGCAATATTTTCCTCAAGAGGCTTCTAATTCCAGTACAATGTGGCATATTCATTTCCAAAGAACTCACTCCTGCACGCGCATATATATATATATATATATATATATATATATATATATGATACAATGCTCCCACCACCAATGGGCATTTGTTTATAGAAAAGTTCTGTTCTTTAGAATTCTCCTTCCTCGCCTGGTCCATTTCTCCCCGTAACGAAAATGGCGCCTTCATTAGAAACACCCTCCTTTTCTATCTTTTAACCACTTGCAGGCATTTTAGTACACCAGAACATTATTCTGTGCATTTGTATGGGTAAGCCTTTCCTTGTAATGTTTAAACATGTTATTGAGAAGGTGGGCAAGGTATTTCTTCTTATCAGGAAGGAGAGTGATCTGCTCTCTGCTATCCAAAAACCAAAACAAAGGAAATGGAATAGGCTACATAATGTGTTTAATGGCCTTCAGCCAGAATGCCATCAAAGAGCCTTAGTGGACCGATAATGAACTTTTTCTGTGTCAGGCCAGAACAGCTTTATATTACTTTATGACAGTCATTTTATTTTATTTTTAAAAGGGGTTCCAGTTAACTCTCCCAACAAGATGTGTGAGAGAAAACAAAAACACCCCCCCAACTGTTTGTTTTCACTTATTTTGGCCATAGAGTTGAATTAAATTCATTATGAATGTTTTTAATGCTTCTGTCCACTAGGTGCTTCATAGAAAGTGAAGTTCAGAGCTGGTGCCAGGTTTGAGGGAGCCCCTGTTAAGTTCTACCCAGGTGACCCTTTCAGCTGCCTTCACCCCCCTCCCTAATATTCACCAGCCACATCAATACTAACCTCTTGTTTCTCAGTTGCTATAATCTGTGGCTATAATCTCGATGCTACATACAACCCAAGTTCACAGTTAGAAGGAATGATGGGCGGCATTTGTGAACATTTAAAGTGAGCATTGTCTCACCTCTCCTTACAACAGCAGCCGCCACATGTTCCAAATTAGACATATGGGAAATGTCTTGGGTGAAGTGGCTATCAGAAGGGCCAATTTATACTTGGAAAATACCTGCTCACCCAGTACATGAGAATAATCTGAAAATCATCAGGGCATTCTCTTAACAATTATTGTATTGGAGAACCACTTTGCAAAATTCAAAGAAGTGCAGATTTTGAAGGATGGATTTTTCCAGTTTACACATTGTTTCAGAAAGTGTGAATTAGGCAAGTTCACCTCTATATGTGAACTTCATCAAATTTTGCACCAACCCTAATTGTGCTGAGTCCAAACTGACCATGCTATTCACAGTTGGGGAGTTCCACTCACAGGAGATTTTCCTTCTTCGAGGATTCAACCAAAAGCGCTTTTGAACATCCAGAACAGATCTTAATAATTATTATAACAAGACAGGATGTGTTTTTATCCCTATTTTATAGACAGAGGCTGAGGAAGAGACATCATGGTTTTCCCCCAAGGCCACCTAAGGTAGTCTGCAACTGACGTGAGATTTGAACTGAGACATATAAGGATTCCTGGTTCGCACACTTGGTCTAATGTGTAGCTCACTCCCCAGCAAACCTTTGTAATCAAGACTCAGTTCACCAGTCTGTCATATATGAAGTTTGCTAGGGAAAGCTTAACAAACTCTGACAAATTCAGGCAATCCCTTTGTAAGCTTATCTTCATTTGGGAATCATCTGCATGAGCTCTCTCAGGTCTGGAAAACATCAGTGCTCAAATTGATTCATGCACTGTGTTTGCAATATAAGGCTGATTCCTTTGGTGCTGACATAAGGAGGGATAATTCCCAAAGATTTTGACAGCATCGTTACACATGTAAAAATATGAATGGAACACGAGTTAGGCTTTAAGGTCCATGCTGCAAAATTCCCTGCCCGTCCGTGTAATCCATACAGCAGCCATAGCTAACTCGGTTAGGTGACTTTGACTTTAGGAAATAAGGTTCCACGATTCTGCCCAACAATACCCCACTGGTTTAACTTTTTATATAACATTATCTAATTTCTGTATCAAAACAGCCCGGCTGCTGCAGAATCGGGAAAACAGCTTATTTATATGTAGATGAAGCTATATGACATTTTCAAATGCCATATATTTGCATATGAAGGGTTCTTCCTCCTTTCGTTTCTTGCGTAAACAGATTTATTCTGCTGCAACTTCCACAATAATCACTGCAAGAACAATGCTTCCCCCCCTCCAAAAAAAGGGACATACACAAAATAATATTAACAAATATAATGGCAATAATTATAAAACAACTGCAATCATAATAATGTGCTTACGTGTAGGACATATTATGGCACTGAAGCTCTGGCTATCAGTGGCAAGCTCAGGCTTGTCATTTTGATGGATGGCTGTACCTCAGATGCCAAACAGAGCACAGAGAGCAAAACTGCATGACCTGAGGATTTCACAGAAAATGGATAGAGGTAATCCGTAACATAAATCAATATTTACAATTCAACTTTGAAGCACATTATAGGATCTTTGTGGACGACCTAAGAAAGGACAGAGGTCAGATTCATTTCACTAACTATTAGAGTTGCATTGATCTCCCACCTCCACTTTGGACAGACTTTCCATTTGAGGGCAGGAATTTGCCCTCAAAAAGGGGCAAGAAGCTGCTCCAGAAGTCACTCTTCAATTCCTACTCCTTTCTGTATTTCTGCAGAACATTAAGAAAAATGGGCATGATATTGTTCATTGTTTCCAAGGGTAGGAGGAAATAATAATAATAATACAACCCAGTTTGTGTACAATATCCCCAGCAAACTAGGAAAAAGTGATGGGCCTGTTTTCTTTCCAACCCCTCCCTTTGCACACCAGTTAGCTTAAACTGCACTTTTACAGTGGTTTAATGTTGGTTACTAGCCAGGATCAAGCATGAAATCAGAAGGCTCCATACCAGACATAACCATGATCTGTAGTTTAAGATAACAATTGGCGTAACAGGTGTAACCTGGCATGCAAAGGAAGGAAAGCGAGGGAGGAGTGGGTGGGCCTGACACTTTATTTATAAATATTTATATGCTGCTATATCATAAAATAAAGCCATGGTTTTCCCAGTAGTGATGTATGGAAGTGAGAGCTGGACCATAAAGAAGGCTGATCGCCAAAGAATTGATGCTTTTGAATTATGGTGCTGGAGGAGACTCTTGAGAGTCCCATGGACTGCAAGAAGATCAAACCTATCCATTGTTAAGGAAATCAGCCCTGAATGCTCACTGGAAGGACAGACCGTGAAGCTGAGGCTCCAATACTTTGGCCACCTCATGAGAAGAGAAGACTCCCTGGAAAAGACGCTGATGTTGGGAAAGATGGAGGGCACAAGGAGAAGGGGACGACAGAAGACGAGATGGTTGGACAGTGTTCTCAAAGCTACCAACATGAGTCTGACCAAACTGCGAGAGGCAGTGGAAGACAGGAGTGCCTGGCGTGCTCTGGTCCATGGGGTCACGAAGAGTCGGACACGACTAAACGACTAAACAACAAATATCATAAAATATATAAAAGTGGTTTACAACAATATCTATATGTAATTTTTGAAAGGGTGTGTGTGTAAAATCAGTGACCATCAGCTAACTAACATGGAAATACGCTTTCTTAATTGCCTACAAGTTTTCAGCAGGCATTTAAAGATTGAAATAAAAGGCACCTGCTGGATTTCTGCTGGCAGAGCATTCCACAAGGCTGGGTCAATGACACTAAAGGCTCAGTTTCTTTTCGCTGTCATATAAGCCTTGCCAACTTGGGAGACAACCAACATCACTCCTGTAGATGACCTCAGTGATTGGGCTGGGGTGTGAGGGTTTAGGTGGTTCCTAAGATACCCTGAGCCTAAGTTGTTCAGGAATTTGTTAAGTATAATTGATTTACCGTATTTTTTGCTCTATAAGACTCACTTTTTCCCTCCCAAAAAAGTAAGGGGAAATGTGTGTGTGTCTTATGGAGCGAATGCAGGCTGCACAGCTATCCTAGAAGCCAGAACAGCAATAGGGATTGCTGCTTTCACTGCACAGTGATCCCTCTTGCTGTTCTGGCTTCTGACATTCAGAACATTTTTTTCCTTGTTTTCCTCCTCTAAAAACTAGGTGCGTCTTGTGGTCTGGTGCGTCTTATAGAGCGAAAAATGCGGTAATTCACACAGAAATGGAAAATGTATGTGTATGGAAAATGGCTAATTGTTTATTACAAACATTGGGGTTTCCCCACAGTAGTTTTTCTAAGGGACTCTAAGCTCCTAAATGAGTTAATGATTACCTGTTGGTTGTTTCTCTACTCTGTGCTGAGAGTGAACCTTTGATCATGTGATGAAGGTATTGGGTTGCAAACCTCCATTTTGTTGGGAGTTGCCTTTGTGTCTTTTGTCTCAAAGCTCTGTGAAGTAAGGACATGTAAAAGATCCTCTTTGACTGTGTGAGAGAAAACAGATCCAGGCTAAAATGGATGCTGTGGGGGGGGGGAGAGACAGACCTCTGCTTCTAGGTCTGTTGGAATTATTTCATATTTTCTAAGATGCTGAGCCTGCGCTGGACAGCACAAGACAATGGATGGATATTTTTGGATGAATCATTTGATGTTTCTGTTTTATTCTGAAGAGCTCTGCTAGTAAACGTTGAATAATATTTTAATGGGCCTGGAGAAGGATATCTTCCCAAAAGGCAGCAGTTCTTATGCTTCCAACCACTTCAAACTGCACAGTATTAATATCTGCAACAGAATTTGTATGGCTACAGAGAACAAGTTGAATCTTGAGACTGCTGCACCCCCCTATTATATGCTGAGAGGAGATTCTACATAAGTATAATCTTGCTAGATCAGACCAAAAGTGCACCTTCCCATTTCCCACAGTGGCACACTTGGATAGCTCAGTTGGTTAGAGCATGGTGCTGGCAACACCAAAGTCGCAGGTTCGATCCCTGTGTGGGACAGCTGCATATTCCTGCATTCATTGCAGGGGTGGACTAGATGATCATGAGGGTCCCTTCCAACTCTACAATTTAATGATTCACCAGAGTTCTATGGGAAGCCACAAGCAGGTCATGAGCACAGACTCCCTCTCCCTACTTGTGCTCCTCAGCAACTGATATCGAGAGGCAGGTGTTACCACAGCTGGTGCCACTAAACACGGGGATATCGCAGTTATTGGAAATCAACAACAGCAGCCATTTCTCACAAGTGCAGGGGCTCCAATAAACAAATGGGGTCTCCAAACTGCAAAGGTTTCACTGTCCATATTTGCTTCCTTGAATAAATAAGGCCACCTGTATTTGCAATGGATTTATGTATCTGATTGACTACAGATCTCTGGATCAGGGTATTTGTCTCTAACTGGTGTGAAGAAGCAAAACAACAGCAACAGCAAATACTTCTCAAAATCCCTGAGTGTACATTTATTTAAACCACTGGCCCTGTTTTCCAGCACGAGGAAAGAAAGGACATTTTCAGAAACTGAAACCAGAGAAACAGAATTAGCATCTCATAACCAAACACAATCTGACACAATATCAAATATCTTTCTTGTACAAAGGGACTGTGGTTTCCAAAGGAAGAACCAGGATGGAGAGAACTTGAAAGAGTAGGATGACCAGTGAGGATGCCGGAAGATAGCATCAAATGTGAGAAATTGGATGAGCTGACAGAAAGTTGATGAACTCTTTTGATATGACCCTAAAAATAGCAAGGGGATGCTTGCTCACTGACACTTCTTTAATGGCAGATGGATATGCATGACCTAACTTTTAAGATAAGTGTCAAGAATATTGATGTGAGGAGTACAGGAGATCATTTTGCTGGCACTGCTGCAGGAGGCGGTTTGCATGATTAATGATGCTTCTTGGGTTTCTTTCTCCCAGAGGAAGAAATGGGATGAACCTCTGTCACCCCAAAGGTACAAAGGAGGTCTGGATGGAGGGGGGAAAGATGGCTTTGCCCACAAAGAAAGTGCCCTTTCCCACACTGGGGAAAAACGAACAGTAGCAAAAAGAGAGCGACGATGCTGATGAAGCAAAGGACTCTGCCTCCCTGCCTGCCTGTGAAGTGCTTCTATCACTGCTGCAAATAAATTAATGAAAAAAATAGCCTCGGCAATTCTCAGGCTTGGTTTGCAAAGTTCAAAAACTCTCTTTGAAGATTTCGTGTCCGCTCAAACAGGAGGTTGTTAGGAGAAGACAGACAAGACCAGTTTTGTTTGTAGGTGGTGACCGGTGTGGAGTGATAAGGTTAGGAAAGTAGGCAGCCTAGGCTAAAATTGGAGAGTACGAAGAAGCAGTCACAAGAAAGGAGAGGAGGATTTTTTGAAAAGAGTGGGTTACAAGAGCCACAAGGTGAGTTCAGATAACTGTGTCAGCCCAAAGCTGTTGCAGATGCAGTGGTGTAGCATAGGTTGGCAGAGCCTGGGGGCAGGGCAAGTGTTATGCCCCCAGTGATGGAATGGGCAGCCCAGCAGTGCTGGGCTGTTATGCTAGGAAGCTGCCGCCACAGCTCCCTTGCACACCAGAGCCCAGCAGAGGAGAGGCACGACAGGGGAGCAGCGGGGCCCTGCCCTTAGCAGCGTAGCGACCCTGCCGCCACCCGGAGTGGACCAACGTTGTTGAGCCCCCCCCCCCGAAAATCAAGGCTGTTTTAGAAAATCAAAGTATTTGAGCTATGGGAGGGTTCCTCTCCCATATTCAGCAGCCAGGGCTGCATGCATGAAGCTCTCTTGCAAAAGCTGCAAGGACAAATATTTCAGCTGTCTGAGGATCACCTGTTCACTGAAAGAAGAGTTTGGGTTTGATATCCCACTTTATCACTACCCTAAGGAGTCTCAAAGCGGCTAACATCCTCCTTTCCCTTCCTCCCCCACAACAAACACTCTGTGAGGTGAGCGAGGCTGGGAGACTTCAGAGAAGTGTGACTAGCCCAAGGTCACCCAGCAGCTGCATGTGGAGGAGCGGGGAAGCGAACCCTGTTTACCAGATTATGAGTCTACTGCTCTTAACCACTACACCACACTGGCTCTCAGTGGGTGGAGAGAGGACTTCTTCCCCCTATCATAGTACTAGTACCTAGGGTCACCCGGTGAAACTACATGGTGGGGGATTAAGGACAAATGAAAGGAATAGTGCATAATCAAATTATGGGATTCATTTCCACAAGATGTAGTGATGGGCACCACCTCTCCTGGTACTGCCGGGAACTGGGTACTGCCTCTCCTGGTATGCCCCACGGACGACCTTAAGGTCCACAAATGACAACACCTTGGAGGTCCCAAGTCACAAGGTGGTTAGATTGGTCTCAACTAGGGCCAGGGCCTTTTCAGTACTGACCCCGACATGGTGGAACGCTCTGTCACAAGAGACTAGGGCCCTGCGGGACCTGACATCTTTCCACAGGGCCTGCAAGACAGAGCTGTTCTGCCTGGCCTTTGGTTTGGACTTGGTCTGACCCTTATGTCTTCCCTCCCCTTTTGTTTTTGATCTATGGGCTACTTTTGAAATGAGGCTGCATTTTAAAATTGCATTTTAAACTGTATTTTAAATTGGGTCCCCCCCTTATTATGTTTCTATTGTAATTTTACTGGAGTTAGCCGATCTGACCGGGGAGGGCGGGGTATAAATAATAATAATAATAATAATAATAATAATAATAATAATAAGGCTATCAGTGACTACTAGCAGGGGTGTCAACTTGAACAAAATATGGGGGGGGGGGAGATAAGCTCCATCCCACACAATCAACCACACACACCATTTGACTGGCAATGCCAGGAGGGGGGTACAGCCCCTCAAATATTTTATTCAGGGTGTGTGAAGGGACCTCAGCCTCCAGAAATTGGTTCCTATGGCTACTGTTCACACTAGCCATGTTACTTCCAGTATCAATGGCTGATGCCTCTAAATGCCAGTTACTAGGGACTATTTTACCAACATCCTGACCCCCGCAAGTGTCTAGGTTTTGGGGAAAAGAGTGGTCATTCTACAATAGTTAGGTGTTGGGTTTTTTTGTTTTTGTTTTTAAATCTGTGTAAAAATATACATAATCTGCATTTTTGTTGCCCGTATACTCTCTGCATGCTTCTGATCAGTATTGCCGGTATCGCCTAAGAAATGTGAGCTGCTGCTGCTGCTGCTAACAAGATGACTAAGCGCAGATCAATAAAGCAAGCAGGAGATTCAAGTTGAGAAGCAGCTGAACAAAGGAAGGTTACAGGGCTGCCCCTTCCTCCAGCTAGCCAGAGCTCTGTCTAATTATGACCCCCAGAAAGCAAACCCGAATTGCTTCTCCTTGTCGATACCCTGGTTATTGCGGAAAGCAACATTTGAAGAAGCCCGTGGAGGGACTTCAAACGTTTACCACTTTCGCGAAGCATCTCATACGGATCCCTTCCTCCTAGAAGGAAAGATGTGTGGGGAGGGGGCAGGAAGAGGAGGGATGGAACCGCATTTCGACTAATGTGCATGTAGGAATGCTAGCGAGGTGATTTTTGACCTGAGCAAGAGCTTCGCTTCAATTCCTTCAACAGCCTGAAAGCTGCTTGAGTCCAGATATGGACCTAAAATTGTATGTCAATTTTTTTTATTAAAAAAAAAAAGCCTTCATGACGGGCAGCTTACACACCTTTCGTTTGTGAAATACATTTTCTCAAATGTCAATGAAAGAAAATTGAGCAACCGCTGGAACTGAGAAGGAAAGAAACTCTGTACCGTATTTTTCGCTCTATAAGACGCACCTAGTTTTAGAGGAGGAGAACAAGAAAAAAAAAATCTCTCCCTCTCTGCTCAGTGCCTCTCCAGCAAAGCGGGAGGAGAAATGGATGGGGCTCTGTTTCTCCTCCCGCTTCGCTGAAGGGGCACTGCACAGCTTTCTCTCTCTGCGCAGCGCCTCTCCAGCGAAGCGAAGTCAGAACAGCAAGAAGGATCACTGCGCACCGATCCCTCTTGCTCTCCTGGCTTCAGTGATAACTGCACAGCCTGCATTCACCCCATAAGACGCACACACATTTCCCCTTACTTTTTAGGAGGGGAAAAGTGTGTCTTATAGAGCGAAAAATACGGTATATATTTCTAGAAAAGTACGCCTATGCTTGTATAAAACCCAAACCTCTTACATTAGCAACCTAGATTAATGATTTTAAAATTATTACTTACTTTTATCTTGCAGTCTCTCTCTCTCTATATATATCACAAATTCTTTAAAGTATCTCCCTACTCCCCGAAACTATATTTCAGGTTGAAATACCTGAAAGGAGGCAGCTGGGGGCAGGCCAGAGTTGGAACTCCTATATTTAGAAATATAGAAATGAAAACTTTGATATTCCAACCTGAAGGCAACTTTCATTTTCAGGTCTTTTTGCCATTGAAAACTGAACCTCTCTGAATACAGACATCTCTGTTGCCCTAATTACAAAATAAGAATGAATGGAAGCATCCAATTTTACACTGTACAAAGAGCTGGTCAATGTATACAAGAGCTACAAGACCACAATGTTTTTTCCTGAATATACAGAGAATGGTTGAAAGCTTTCTGTCTCCTTTCTTTAGAGAGGTTCTGTGAGCTGGGAAGTCACTAGAGATGGGACAAATCTGACAATTTCATATGCTTTCATTTTTCCATTTAGGTCTCCCCATTTCTGCAACATTTTGCTTTTTTTGAAACAGCCTTAGGAAAATTAGTCAGAATTTCAATGCTAATTCTCCTAAGAAACACATTTTTTGGTAAGCTGTTTCAACCAATATACATATTTTTGGAACATCTCCTCATTCTAGGGTTGTCATATGTCTGGAATTTCCCGACATAGCTGGGACTTAGCCCTCGTAAACAGTAAATCTGGACGTATGGCAACCCATGTCGGAAGTGTAGATTTTGGTGAATTTCCTTAAAAATAGCTCAAAACTTCTTTTTTGAGATTTTGCAAAACAACCTCAACAACTTTGGCCAAGAAGAAGAAAGAAGAAAGAAAGAAGAAAGAAGAAAGAAGAAAGAAGAAAGAAGAAAGAAAGAAAGAAAGAAAGAAAGAAAGAAAGAAAGAAAGAAAGAAAGCTCAACAACTTTTGTGTCTGGATTTTCACTCTTTGAAATATGGCAACCCTACCTTATGCAATACATTTCTGTATGTTATTTACACTAATATAATGCATTTTTATTCACACTTTCCTGTAATATATAGGGTTGCCATGCTTCAGAAAGCGGGCTGAGGTTGCTGAACTTTTCTTTTTTGTCAACAACAAAAATGAGGTTTTGAGCTATTTTTAATGGTCTCGCACACATTGTTTGGAAAACTGCATCACACATTTTGCAGAAGTGTGACTTTCAAAGGGAGGCTGAAATGTACCCAAGGATGAGGCCAGATTCACTTAAGAGCAAGGACATTCTCTCACACCCCCCTGCCACCCATGGACCACCAGCAGGGTTACAATGTATAATGTAGTAATTATGAGAGGAACAATGGGTTTTGTATTCCGTGCCAGGAGCAGAGAAGATAATGATTCCCTAAAAGTTGCTGGTTTCTTACTGAAGTTTGGAAAAAAGAGTGGCAGTGTTTTAAATAATCCATCCTCCAAATTACCCTCTCTTACCTGAAGTGACAAAAATTGGACTAGAGGGGAAGGAAACCCTTTTCATAACCTATGCCAATATTCTTGGGACTGTGAGATTGCTGATGCCACTGCTTCTATAAAGAAAATTCAAAATGCCCAGGATTAAATGGAAGGAAAACAAGTTTTTTTTAAAAAAAAATTGCTCAGAAGCCAAAAGGAAGATAAAACAAGCCAAATCAGGCTCTATCAGAGAAGCCCGTGCATGCACGTCTAGAGCTGCAAGGAACTTTCAACATTGCATTACATTCCTCTGTACTGTTACTGATAAAGCAGCACAGATCTAGAACTCAGGTATTTTGAGTTTGCCTTATCAAATGCAGTGACTGTGATTGCCTGCTTAGATGTTTGCAGCCAGAGAACTGGGCCGGCTGTTTCAGTGTGGAAAATTCAGCCTTGCTACCACCATCAACAGCTTCTTGGCCTTTATTATCCTCTCGGGGCTGCCACTTCATCACGCTGCAATGATTTCTGCCTGCCGTGCAGCTGATTCGAGGCACAGAGCCCTCCTCTATCCACAATCTTTACCTAGAACTCCATTTGCCAGCAGACACTATTACCCTTATTGCCAGGCATCGCATCCCTGCCCCACAACACCCATCTCTGGAAAACAGCTTCATAGTAATGCACAGAATGGTGAGAGAAACTACACAGCAGCTTCACAGTGCATAATGTTAGTGGAACACGCTGGGAAGAGATAAAGCTCTAGGTAGCAGACCATGTTTGAGCAGCAGAAATGTGTGCAGCTACTGTTCTGTTGCAATGTCATGTTTTAGCTGCTTAACTGCATTCTGCCCTACCAGTCTCAACGGGCAGCAGCCGGCACTGTCCACGGGTATGTAAACAAAACAGCAAACAAATATATAATAAATAAAATAATGCTTACAAAGAACCCTTTAATCAGACAAGAGCAGAATGAAATAGATGTTGCTGCATCTTACTTATCAGGCATTCATAACAGCACTGCCAGACGATGGCAAAGTAGAGGGGGAAAATAACTATTTGTGGAAATGAAGAATCAAGGAAGTCAAAGGACGTCAGCTTCTTGCAGTGCCTCCTATTGAGAATAAATTAAACGAAACAGCTGATATTCTGTTGCATGACCAAGGTCATTCCAATCACGGAGATGAAGGAAAGGAAATCTTATTAAATGGTGCTGTGAAAAACCACAACAAACTGTTCGCAAAGGAGCAAGTGAAGTACCCAGGAACCAACTCCCTCAGCCCCTAGTCAAAATGCAACAAAGTCAATCAGTTAAATATTTCAACCTAATAACACGGGTTTCCCCTAAGCGACTTCATATACAGACTTGGCTTATTTTTCCTGATTCTTGTTTAATCCATTCTCATCATAGCTAGATAGAGCCACATTCCTATTTTTAAATGAAATTGTAAGTGAAATACCCCTGGGAGGGGGTGTTTTTGATGTACAACACACATAGCTTTAAATCTCAGATAATGTAAAGAGAGAGAGAGAGAGAGATTAAAAGTCATGAGGGATTCCCCCCCTTCTCTCTCTCTCTCTCTCTCTCTCTTTATCTAGTCAGAAATATATTTTCCCATTATGTAATGCTGTCAGGAATTGATAACGCTTGTCATAACAGGTCTACATTCTAATTCAGTGCACCGCTATCTTTTGGAAATGCGCTGCCACTGATTATGGCACAGTCCGTTGGCACCTATTATATTTAGAGGAAGGGTTATTTATGACATTTCCACCCTTCGTTTCCCTCCAAGGAGCTTAGGCTGGTGCTTTCTCCTCACAACCACCTTGCAAAGTAGTTTATTCTGAGACGGAGGTACTTTTAGAAAATCAATGACAGAGACGGTGATTTGGTGGTATTCAGATCTGAAAACACAACCTGGGATGCAGGAACTTCTTTCTTCTTTGGCGATCACTCGTAGCCGAGTAAGATTGTCTTCCATGAACATGGTCTTAAACAGTGAGTCCGCAAGTGACTGTGGAGGCCAATTTTGGATCCACACGTCCTTCCACAGTGGGGACATAGGTTTCCAGGTGGGAGTTGATTATGGTGAGAGTTTGCCAAACGTGCCTCCCACACCTTCCTCTAATCATGTTTCTCCCTTTTGTCCTGAGTTTGAGCGTCTTCAAAGCCCACGACACCTTTGGTAAAGGCTGTTCTCCAGTTGGAGCACTTGCAGACCAGTCAGTGTTTCCCAGTTGTCGGTGTTTATACTACGTTTCTTTTTAGATTTGCCTTGAGAGAGTCTTTAAAACTCTTTTGTTGACCACCGGCATTACGCTTTCCAGTTTTAAGTAAAGAATATAGTAGTTGCTTTGGAAGACGATAATCAGGCATCCGCACAACATGACCAGTCCAACAAAGTTGATGTTGAAGAATATTGCTTCAATACTGGTGATCTTTGCTTCTTCCAGTACACTGGCATTAGTTCGCCTGTCTTCCCAAGTGATGTGTAAATTTTTTCGGAGATGCAGTTGATAGAATCTTTCGAGGAGTTGGAGATGGTGTTTATAAGTGGTAAATGTTTCACAAGCAGACAGTAAGGTTGGTAGTACAATAGCTTTGTAAACAAGCATTTTGGTTTTGCTGCCGGAGTGCAGAGGTGATCACACTAGCTTAGGGTTACCAGACATTCCCAGTTCCAGGGACAGTCCCCAGATTTGCAAATCTGTCCCCGGGAAACGTGGCAGCGGCAGCCTCAGCTGCCTGGAGCCAGCCTGGTAGCGCAGTTGGCTCTGGCTGGTTTCAGGAGCTGCTCGCTGCCATAGCGCCCACCATTTCCCCTCACCAGAAGTCCCCATATGATGTGTCTTGTGCTCAACACATCATATGGGGCCTTCTGGCGAGGAGCTCCTGAAACCAGCCAGAGCCAACTGCGCTACCAGGCTGGCTCTGGGGAGCTGAGACTGCTGGTGCTGCTGCCACTGCCAATGGGGAACTAGGGATGTTCGGCGGTACAGATCTCCTGCCCCCTTCCCCCTTTGTTTTGACTGATGGGGGAGGCTCGGGAGTTGTGGGCGGCTGACCGTTGCCTAGTTTTTTAAAAACCTCTGTGCATTTTTGTTTCACAGGGTGTGAAAGAAGGGCTTTGCACCTTTATACAATATGCATGTGTGCTTGGGCCCAGGGTCTTTTGCCTCACCATCCCCACTACTGACTCCCTGTTGCTACTCAGCTTAAAAAATAATAATGTGTCCCCGGATTCATTGAAAAAAATCTGGTAACCACACACTAGCTTCAACTATTGCCCTGTTTAAATCCAGAAGTACGACACAATCTAGCTCCATCCCCCTGCATCACCATCTGTGTTACCACCGCCATGAGTTGGAGGGTGACTGTCTGAAGAAGGGAGCTGCCAGTATGAACTGCATGTTGTTGAACTTTGAGTAATCAGTCTTCTAAATCACCCGAGGAGCCTTCCTGTGCATTATCATCATTTATTAAATCTGTATACTGTCGTATACCCACAGGTCTCAGGGCAGTTCACAACATAAAATCATATTATATAAAACACAAAATACATAATAAAAACAAGAACAAGAACAACCAAATAACTGCCCCCCTCCCCAAAACATTTAAAAAGAACATTGGATATCAATTTGTCAAAGGCCTGGTTAAAGAGGAATGTTTCTACCTGGTGCCTAAAGGTGTACAGTCATACCTCAGGTTGCGAAGGTGATCCGTGCAGGAGGCATGTCCGCAACCCACAGCGTTCGCAGCCTGAAGCACTGTGTCTGTGCACGTGTGTGACGTGATTCGGTGCTTCTGCGCATGTGTGTGATGTCATTTTGCATTTCTGCGCATGTGCGAGCGCGAAACCCGGAAGTAACCTGTTCTGGTACTTCTGGGTTCGGCATGGTCCGCAACCCGAAAACGCACAACCTGCAGCGTTTGTAACCCGAGGTATGACTGTATAATTAAGATGCCAGTTGAACATCCTTGGGGAGAGCATTCCACAAATGGGGAACCACTGCAGAGAAGGCCCGTTCTCATGCTGACACTCTCTGGACCTTTTGTGGAGGAGCTAAAGTAAAGGTAAAGGACCCCTGGGCAGTTATGTCCAGTCGAATTCGACTATGGGGTGTGGCGCTCATCTTCGCTTTCAGGCTGAGGGAGCCGGTGTTTGTCCACAGACAGCTTCTCCGGGTCATGTGGCCAGCATGACTAAACCGCTTCTGGTGCAACGGGACACTGTGATGAGTGCCAGAGCACATGGAAACGCTGTTTACCTTCCTGCCGCAGTATTACCTATTTATCTACTAGCGCTGGTGTGCTTTCAAACTGCTAGGTTGGCAGGAGCTGGGACAAAGCAATGAGAGCTCTGTCCCAGGAGCTGGGACAAAGTAACGAGAGCTCACCTGTCACATGGATTGGAACTGCTGACCTTACAATTGGCAGGCCCAACAGGTTGGTGGTTTAGACCACAGCGCCAATCGCCACACATGGAGGAGGCACATAAAGAAGGGCCTCAGAAGATGAATGAATGAATTTTATTATTTCAGTCACAGACCAGTTTCAGCCCACATACAGTATCAAGTAAATCATAAAACACGATAGGGATACATTTGAATTTGCAATTAGGTATAACAGGGACAATACAGATATAGCAGCAGTTAAAAATATATATAAATTAAAACTTAGTCACTAACATACAACCTAAAATTATCATTTAAGGCCTTAATCATTATGATAGCACAGCTTGTTCCCTAAGTTTTATGGCACAGGGTCCGGGTATTTTCATATTGAAAGAGTCAGTCCTTGAGGTATCTCGGACCTGAGCTGTTTAAGTTACCTTGCTCCAGATCCACCAATTTACAGAGGGCAACAGAGACAAGTGGCAGAGGATGGAATTAGCATGTGTTCTATTTCTGGATTTGAATTGGGAGATAGTTGCCTGGAGAGTTTAGCCTGTTTTCCCACATCCAAGCCCTTGCCACGACTCCTTGCTGGAAAAATTATGGAACGGAATGTGAGAAATCCATTTGCACCTAACTGGGATATTTCCCCCCTTTTGTATTATTTCTGTTTGCCTATAGCCACCCCAAAACGCAGGAGGTTAAAAGAAAAAAAGCAGCGGGGGAAACAAAGTAAACATCATAAAACCCTATGAGATTACATGGCGTGTGCAAGAGGTGAAAGTCACACACACACACACACACACACACAGTGAGGATGGTACCTTATTTAAGCTCATTTATCTTTTTGAGCATGGCAGAGACATGGATTCTGAGCATGCGTGGAAGGACTAACAGGAGGGATTAGCAAGCATTAAAAAGCTTCTAATTTGCTTTGGAGTAGGGATTTATGCATTTTGAATATGCAGAAACAAACATAAATGATGCACGATGTATTTATGAACTGGGGCATAAATGTGCAGCACTGGTTCGTGGCAGCTCAGGATTCTCCTGTGCAATACCTTCAGCAGCTCTGCAAATACAATTTCTGAGTTTATCCGTAGCCGTTGCTAACATAACATAATGTTGCAGATGAGTGGCTACATGATATTATGAGGAAACAAGCAAAGCACAGCAGCCTAAGGGGAATGGATACATTATAGTGTGTAGAGCGTGAGACTCTTAATCTGAGGGTTGTGGGTTCGAGCGCCATGTTGGGCAAAAATTCCTGCACTGTAGAGGGTTGGACTAGATGACCCTCATGGTCCCTTCCAACTTTACAATTCTATACGTACATATGGGTTTATCTATATATCTTTAAATATGAAAGCCTCTGCACCGAAGTTGGTCCCAAGTTCTTTCAGTGATTCTTGTCAATGTAAATCCTAAAACAGGACATCCATTCATTGCAAAAATAAATAAATAAAAATTAAATAACGGTTATTTGGTTTTACAAATATAGAATTATAACAGTACAATACAAAATACATATCCATATTTAGAGATTTCTTCTAATCTCTGAACTTCCCACCTTTCCCTCCATGAGTCCTATTGTCATCCTTTTCAACTGCATATTATTTCATAATCAGTGTTTTATGTTCTCCATTTGTCCATAATATTTGCTACATTACAAGTGTTATTGTAATCCTGCAAGTGTTTTCAGACTGCTTACAGCGGTCGCTTAGATAAATAATAATTTCCGCCCCCATTCTTTGTTGAAGTTTTGGTCTTCTTGGTTCCTGAGCTTTCCGGTCAGTCTTGCCATTTCGAAACGGCATTCATTGCAAAAATCACCCCCCACTTCCGGAAGCCCTAAGAGGCAGGGGCACCATCTGGGGGGTGGGGGTTGCCGAGGGGCCAGAGCCGGCCAATACTTTGCAAGAAGGGGGATCGCTCCCCCCCAAAAAAAAATTTATGTGGTGATCCTCAAAAGGATGTTCTAGGACAAAGATGCTTAGCTCTGCTGTGTCCTTTTGAGGACTGCCAGGGAGACAGCATGGCGAACCATCTTGACCAGGGGTCAGCAACCTTTTTCAGCCATGGGCCAGTCCACCGTTCCTCAGATCATGTGGTGGGCTGGACTATATTTTGAAAAAATAATAATGAACAAATTCCTATGCCCCACAATAACCCAGAGATGCATTTTAAATAAAAGGACACATTCTACTCATGTAAAAACACGCTGATTCCCGGACCGTCCACGGGCCGGATTGAGAAGGCGATTGGGCCACATCCAGCCCCCGGGACTTAGGTTGCCTACCCCTGATCTTGACCCTGGCGTGTCCCTTTGAGGATCACCAGAGCAGCTCCCCAGAAGGCACGATGGCTATCTCCTCCTGGGATGCACAGGGCAAAATGTCTTTGTTGCAAGTATGCCTTTCATAAGGTAAGGCAGCTGGTAGTGGGTGGGTGGGTGGGTGATGGACTGGGTGGGTAGCCTGCCTCAACTGGGGTTGTGTGTCACATGTGTGACATCATGCATGTGCTACAGCCCCGCCCCAATGTTGGGTACAACTTGATGCACCTGCTAAGAGATTTCACACCTTCCTTCCTTTCTGAAACATTTCTTCTTTTTCTTCCAGAAAGCCTGGAACTCTCTAATAGCTCACTCCAGCCTTTTATTTATTAAGCTGCTCACGCCAATAATAGTACTACAAGCTGGAGCTTGCACTGCTCCTGCTGTTTATTTATTTCCTTCAGAGCAAATTATAAGACATAGTGCATTTTCAAGCTATGCGCTTGTGGACAAACCAAACAGCTTTCATGTCAATGTTCATTCACCATATAGTTGAGATCTTTCATTAGTGAAAATGAGGCATAAGACAACTCATGTAAAACATGGCCTCAATTCATTAAAAAGGAAATTAAAACATGGTGCCGGACAGGAACCGCCTAAGAAGTCGGCAAAATGTAAGCTGTTCCTTTGGAGCAGGTTGATCAGCCAAATATCATTGTGCTCATTTGATGATCTAAAGAGCTACCTAAGAAGAAGAGCCCTGCTGGATCAAGATCTGAGCACAACAGCCTTCCCATGGCTGGCGATTCCCAGAAACTGGTCTTCTGTCTCTGACAGTGGAGGTACAACATACCTTAGCTCTACGAATCTCTCTAATTCTCCTTTAAGACCACCCAAGTTGGTGGAAATCACTCCATCTTGCTGGAAGTGAACTCTGCAAGTACTATCTTTTGACTGTCCTGCAGGTGGCACTGTGGGTTAAACCACAGAGCCTAGGACTTGCCGATCAGAAGGTTGGCGGGTCGCATCCCCGCGACGGAGTGAGCTCCTGTTGCTCGGTCCTTGCTCCTGCCAACCTAGCAGTTTGAAAGCACGTCAAAGTGCAAGTAGATAAATAGGTACCGCTCCAGCGGGAAGGTAAACGGCGTTTCCGTGCGCTGCTCTGGTTCGCCAGAAGCGGCTTAGTCATGCTGGCTACATGACCCGGAAGCTGTACGCAAGCTCCCTTGGCCAATAAAGCGAGATGAGCACTGCAGAGTCGGCCACGACTGGACCTAATGGTCAGGGGTCCCTTTACCTTTAATCTTCCAAAACTCAGCTTAATTGGGTGGCCAAAGTTTTGTAGTATTCTACTCTAGGTAGTTCCTAAGACTTCAGAATACCAAGTGAGTTTTTTAAAAAAGCAACCACTTCGCCCCTTTGAAGGACAGATTCAATATCATAAGCTGTCCTTGGAAGTCTCACTAGTTTCCTATGTGGTTTTCTATGTGGCAAAACTGTAGTTCAAGGAATAAAAGGCCAAAACCACCTTGGGCATGCAGAGTCAATGGATTGTCAGGCTATGGGGGATTGGGTCCCCCCCCCCCCGGTGGCAGTAAATAAGCAGATCAAACGAAAGGAGTGTTCTTACCAGTTAGTTTCTTTAATAATCACAGTGAGAGACAAAGGAATGCATATCTCTCTAGAAATGGCGGTTGCTCCCAGTAAAGGTTCACCCCCTCCATCCCCATTAATCTACGTCACTCCTACGCTGGGTAATCGAACTTGTTGCCACTGTGCTCTCTGCTCTATCACTCTCAAAGCCCGTCTAGTCTGAGGTGAAGGGGGGGGGGGTCAGGAACGCTGTCCAAGGATACTGAATCGGCTAGCAGTCTCTCATGGCATTTCCTCTTCTAGCTGTTCCTCACACAGTATTTCCCAGCTTTCCCCTTTTGGACTATGCCCCTCTGCAAACCACTGTTCTTAATCAATACTGTCCTCCTGGCCTTGGGAAGGTTCAGGTCAAGGGGGTGGTGGTTCTCACAATTCACAAAGCCCTTGACATGGATACTGGCTAAAAATAAGAAAGTGGTGTTACAAAATGTCTCTCAATATCAGCCTGGATACTTAATTAAAAGGAATATTCTCTATGGTTCCCATAGTCCCCCGATATGTAATGCGGCACAGCAATGAGTCTTGAGCACTATGTGTGGTGATCACACAGGGTCCCTGGACGTTTGACGGTCTATTGATCCCTGTGCCACCACTGTGCTCACTTTCCCGAATATACTTCACCACCAACCCGTTACTCTCGGGTACACACTGAGTCCAGACAGTTGATAAAATTAAACCAAATAAACAAGTTTATTTTATAAGCATTAACAAGTTTATGGTTTCTCAGATAATTTTCTTGTCAGTTTCTTAACCTTAGTTTCTCTACCGGCCTATACCTTCCTAATACCTTCTGACTGATTATCTCAACTGCTTGACTGACTCCTCTTAACAGATTCTCTTACTCTCTCACATCAGACTAGCCCAACCCAGAGATCCTCCCTCTCTCTTCTCTAACTCCAGACTGACTTCTTAACAACTCAAACTCGAACTCGAACTCCTCCCCTTGGGTTCCTATAGGTTAGTCATTTTACAATTAGTTAACCCTTTCCTTATGAACCCAGTATGATGTCACACAACTAGGAGGGCAAACGCCACACTATGCACAATAGCATTGTATAAAATTATCACGAATGTATGGGATGTACACACATAGCAATCTATGTGCCACTCAGAGGCATACCTAGGCTCCCTTGTGCCCTTGGTAAGGAGTTGTATCAGTGTCCCCACCATTCCTTGCACCCTTGGCAAGGAGATGTGCCTGGCCATCCACAGCAGCTGAGGAATGGTCTGGGGCCACTTTGACCCAAAGTTTGAGAGGCATGATTTTTGCACCTGCATGGACCTGTGCCTTTTTTGGGTGGTGGTGGGGAAACCTGTCCAACCCCTAGGTATGCGCAACACATTTTGTGAGGACAAATCTCAGAACAGTGACCACATGGCGGCATGTATAGACTGCACACTAGGACAATTTTCTGAGGTGGGCAATGATGTTCATGATTCCTTTTCAGCAGAAGCGCCAACTACAGGGGGCAGAAGGGGCTTCATCCCCCTCAATATTTGTGGGCAGGGGACTGAGCCCCCCAATACTGAGGGGGCCACCATCCCCCACCACTGCCAGGTGAGCACTTGTGCACTGGGTGGGGGCAGGAAGCATGGAAGGTGAAGATCACCCTCTGTGCCCCCATCTCCCACTGCTGATGGGAGAGTGCTGGCGTCCTGGGTGGGAGTGGGACACGTCACATGACACCAGGTCCCCTCAATGTGTATGAGATGTTGGTGCCCCTGCTTTTTAGATTCCTGAATGAGCTGCATCTCAGTGTCTTCTTTTGTGCTTTGGAATATATATGTCTTGGATATGTTATGTGAAATTCCCCACCCACTAATATCATAAAGAAAAGAGAGTGTGCCGGATTTACCTTTTATCCTAAAGCAAAGTTATAGGCTGTTATCATTTTTCAATATCTTAGGGAAAAGGTTTGACACATAGTAATTTTTAGTTTTTTTAAAAAAAACTCCTTAATTTGAAGGGACACTGTCAGGTAGTTTAAGCTCAGAATCTGACCTACTTTTAAATGTTGCAAATTACAATCTAGGACAGGCTTCCTTTTCAGATTTTTGTTGTTTATTACTAAACATGACAAAGGAACACCGCTGACAGCAAGAAGGCTTTGGATCAAGATTCTTATACATTTGTTCAATTGGGGAGGAAATTCCCACCCAGATGGAGTAACCTAGGATACCTCTGCGAGCTAGAAAAGTGCAAAGCCTTCATTTCCAACAAGTATTCAAATGGGACTCCTCTACCCTCAAGACTTTCTAAATCATGGATGGGGAACCTGAAGTATATCTGAAGGAGCGTCTCCACCCCCATTGTTCACCTCAGACACTGAGGTCCAGCGCTGAGGGCCTTCTGGTGGTTCCCTCACTGTGAGAAGTGAATCTACAGGGAACCAGGCAGAGGGCCTTCTTGGTAGTGGCGCCCACCCTGTGGAACACCCTCCCATCAGATGTCAAGGAAATAAACAACTATCTGACTTTTAGAAGACATCTGAAGGCAGCCCTGTTTAGGGAAGTTTTTAATGTTTGGTGTTTCATTGTATTTTTAATATTTTGTTGGAAGCCGCCCAGAGTGGCTGGGGAAACCCAGCCAGATGGATGGGGTATAAATAATAAATTATTATTATTATTATTATTATTATTATTATTATTACCCGTGGTGCTGTCAGGCTTCAGGGGGTTGCTCCCCCCCAGCAGTAGATAAGCAGAACAAAGGAAAAGGAGTCTTTTTACCAGTTAGAAACTTTAAAGATCACAGCGAGAGAACAAAGAACCCATCTCCTAGGAATGTCAGTGCTCCCAATGAAGAATTCCACCCCCTTACGTCCCTAGTCACCCATGTCACTCCTATGTCTTGTAACCTGAGCTTGTACTCTCTGTGCTTTCTGTTCTGCCACTTTCTCAGCCCTTCTTGACCTTGGGGAGAGCAGATGAATGCTTTCCAGAGACAGTGAATCTGTTAACTCCCCCCCCCCCCAGTGTTTCTTCTCCTAGCTGTTCCCCATCCAGTATTCCCCAGCTTCTGCCTTCTGAACTATGCCCCTCTGCAAACCACTGTTCCAAATCTATACTGTCCTCCTGCTCCTGGGAGGATTCAGGATCAGGAACAGGGGTTGGCTCCCACCATCCTTCCTCAGTGCAGCCCTCCTCAGCACGGTCCCTGACAGGTGCTTTTGATACTGTCAGACTACAACTCCCATCTTTCCTGGCCATTGAGCATGCTGCCTGGAGCTGATGGGCCCCAGATTCCCCATCCCAGATCTAGAGGGAGATAACCTCCGTTTTCCTGAATGGTTGATCCTGTCAGCACAGGTACCTCCCCATGCCTTAGTGAGCAACTAGGGGAGCAGGTGGTATCTCCAAGGCCAGGTATGGACCAGGGATGTCCATTTGCTGATCTGCAATGGAAAGAGTTAGGTCCACAGTAGCAAAACACCTTTATTTCCTTGGGAGCTTGCCTAATTTCTGACTATGGGGGTTTCCCTTTTGGGACCTGAATCAGGGCTGAATGCCCCCCTAAAACACACAAGGAGCTTGATGGGACTGACACAATGCATTTTGAGATCATGCTCTGTCAAAAAAGGATACCGATCAATGACATGGCCTATATTTCTTAGAGCAGAAAGTATTCTTATGCGATCCCCCCCCCCCCAGGAAATGTAACTCAAAATCTGAAATAAGCTGGACAAATCTCCAAAGTGTTCCCAGCAAAACAAACACACCAAGGACCTCTTTTATAGATCCCGAGCGAGGAATCGAAAGACATCATTTCAGGGATGTTATCAAAGAGAAAATGTTGTTTCCTTGTATAGTAATCAGCAATATGAGAGGCATTAAAATCCACTGAGCTAAAGTGCAGAGGCAGCGTCCATAAAATAATCTCTAAATACAATCAAAGCAGCGTAGCAGATAAGACGAAAGCTACGAATGGTAAGGAGCCCAGGGTTTTGTAAATGTTTCTAAAACCGAGGTGTGAACTTCTCATGAACCTTGGTATTATTGTTACCTAATTAATAATTTGCAAAGCGTTTGGCTGTTTTTAACATAGATTCTTAAGTTTCCCAGTGAAGGTTATTCCGTAAAAGCTGTACGGGAAGCTGGAGGCCACATTCTGGATTTCAATATGCAGGTTCAGAAGAATGCAATCACCATGGATGAAATGATGGCACACCATCAGGAGTGAGGTCTTCTGTCTGGGAAGTGGGATTTGCTCCTGAGTAGACATGGTTGGGATTGCAGCCTAAGAGCAGAATCCAATAAACTCTAAGTATTTGAGAATGCAAGGCGTGCAATCCTACCCTTCTCCTTAGGATTATCTCTGCTAGCAGTAAGAAACCGCCAACAACACATTGGGTGCAAAGGATACAAAGCCCCATGGATCCCCTGAGGGGGTCTGATTCAAGGGGGTAGGGGTGCTAAAATATGGGGGGTAGGTAAGCCCCACTTGCACCACATAGTCAATCACATGACGTGGTGCACACACACCATTCGAATGGCCATGTCCAACAACTTTGCGGGGGCCTTGGCCCCTCAAATATTTTATGGGAGGCAAAGACCCCTTGGCCCTAGGAGTGGGCTCCTATGAACGGAGGCCAATCTGAGGGTCTCCTAGAGCTGTTTCAGCAAATAATGAGGGGATGGTATTATTCCCTTTTGCTGTGGCCAGCATGAGCTACCAAGTTTTGAAACACAGCAATGGATTCTTCACTCTGTTCCCCAGTTCCCTGGTGCCTGGGATTTTGATTGCTCTGTAACCATTAGTACTGATATTTCCACTCTTGAGTCCCACTTACTGGATCAGTCCAATTATTTCTGAACTCTGCGTCTTGACAAGCTGAAGCCATAATTATGCTTTTATAAATATCCAGCACAAAGGTCCTTTTGAAACAAGGAGACAGTTTTTTTTTTAAATGTGCGTTGTACACGCACAAACATAGCCTATTGTTATTTGAACCGCACATCACAGATAGATGGCGAACACCTTGCTGTCTCACGGGACCAGCACAATCTTAATAAGTGAACCTCGGCACATGCCAAAAAAATAAGACGCACTTCATCTTTCCATTGTCTGGCACGCCAACGGCAGAAGCCAAGTGTTTGGCTTCAACATCTCCTCTGAAGCTAACGGGGTCTTGCCTTCACAAAAACTCCATTTCCCCAACACAAAGGAAACCACAAGCGGAAGCAATTATACATCCCTTGCCATGTTTTTAAATGATAACACTCCAAGTATTCCTATTCTCAGCGCTAAAGTCAAGCTGTGACAATTTGCACAAGCACTTAAGACTCCTTGCAAATTAGTCCTTCTGGTACAGCAGATCTGAAATGAAATGAAATGAAGACACAGCTCTCTGCCCGAACAGACAACAGTCGATAAGACCTTAAATAATATTTACATATTATATGTAATATTTCAAAAAATGCTATATTAAGCTTGAACTGGGGCTATATTTTACTGGAGTTTCTAGACAAATTAAAGCCATTTATCATTCTTTAAAAAAACACACCCCACAAACCACACCACAATCTGTTCTAAAATATCTCATTAACTTCGCATCCAAAGGCAAATGTTGTAATGCGTATTTCTGCTCGGTCTGAAGACTCAAACAGCCAGAAAAGAGCTATAAGAAATTATTGGTTTCAACTTCATGACATGCTGGTCTCTTCTTTTCTTTTTTATTGAGTGAACTTGAAGCACTGTGGATGCTGCCATGATTAACACAAATGCATACGAGGCAGGCGGTAAGAAAAATGGCAGCGATGTTTGGGGGAGTTTCCTTGTTAAGATGAAAGGAGGTGTCAGATTTAAAAGCAGCGCTGTCAACTGATTAATGATTTTTTAATCTTTGATTATTCTGGCTTTTAACTGATTAATTGCGGCACTTAAATTGCATGGAATTAATTTAAGCATTGCAAACTCAATAAGTGCATGTATTTTGGGGAATGTGACGGAAGGAAACTTTTAACCTGAAACCTGAGATAACTCACACTTTGAATGCGCTAAGGCTATTAGTCACCGATGGAATATCACATAATTTTTCCAGCATATTTGCGAATGGAGAATACACTCCATCTCAGTGACATATCAGCCATCACGCATCACCATCACCAAATAAACAAGTTCAAAGCTGGTCAGTATTGTGTAAGGTCCAGGTTTAAAAGCCACTGAGACATTTCTGAGCTCTCTCAGCGATAGTTACTCGGTTAGGAAGAGCCAAAGAGGTCTGTGGGCAGCATAAGGTCACACAGAGAGAAATATGATTCAGTTTGTATTCACTTGAAGGGAAATCTTCCTAAATTCCACTTTGTGAAACAATATGTGGACTGATAGTTGCAATGCTCTGAATTTTGCAATGAAGTTCTCCAACCTAATAATGTATGCAAAATTGCATATACAGTGGTACCTCTGGTTATGTACTTAATTCGTTCTGGAGGTCCGTTCTTAACCTGAAACTGTTCTTAACCTGAAGCATCACTTTAGCTAATGGGGCCTCCTGCTGCTGCCGCGCCACCAGAGCACGATTTCTGTTCTCATCTTGAAGCAAAGTTCTTAACCTGAGGTAATATTTCTGGGTTAGCGCAGTCTGTAACCTGAAGCGTATGTAACTTGAAGTGTATGTAACCCAAGGTACCACTGTATGAGGGGAAAGTGTGTACAAATGCATATAATCAGCGACCAATTCCTTGACTGAAGCTTGGAATCCTCCTTAAGATAACCCTTCATCACCAATAAAATAGATATAGAGATGTAGAGATATAGATAGTGAACTAAAGATGCAACCACCTATGGTTTCAATTTCACAAATATAGCCAAAGGAAAGGTTTCCCTCCAGCAAATAAAATAAAATAAACTCTTTCTTCCTAGGGTAGCATAGGGTTAACGCTTACCTGCATAATCCGTTCTTGCGTAATGTCCATCTTCTGACTTTGTAGTGGTGGTTGTGTTATCTGAAAGACAAAACATGTGTTCTGTTTTGCTACGTTCTGCTCGGGTATCTCCTGCTTTGGTAAAGTGTTGTCTTGTAGTTTTAAATCACGGCACTAGGCCGTACCCAACAAAGTTGGCCTGTTCTCGTAAGGACTTCTGCTTGTGGAACAGAATGCCTCCTCCCTCTCTTCCCTGAACCTCCACCCCCCAGAAAAACAATCAGTTGGGGGTTCCCCCCACAAGCCTTTGGAGCAGATTAGGGGGATATGGGTCACACACACGAACAGAGAGGAGATGGAGTGGAAGTTCCATGGTGGAAATGGAAGTCCTCGCATGAATTCCTTGGACTTCCTTGGATACAGCCCAGAGCTCCCACAAGCTAACTTTACTCTACCAGTGAATATTAACATTGTTGGCAAGCAACAAAGGAAACGGGGGCAATTCGCAGGCCCCCAGCTGGCTTCAGCCCACTGGCCGGTGTGCCGGGTGAACTCCAGTCCTTGGTGCAGCATGAACCTGCGACCTGAGCTTCAGAAGCTAGGGCACGCTACTCAGCAGAGTAAACGCTGCGTAAACAGAAGTGGCAGGAGAGGCTGTGTGAGCATATTTACAAGCAGTTTATTCAGCGTACATCAGGACAAAGGAAACATGTCTGATCTCCTTCGTGTCCAAAGCAAAGCGGCAAAAGCTATACACAAACAGAAGTTCCCAGCATCCTGTGCTGGAGTGTAAACAGACATGTGACACACAACAATCATGCCTGTTCCTTAAGGTGGAACAGAATATCCCAACAAACATAGGGACAGTTCATATGCCCTTCTTGCCTACTTCCTGTGGGATGTAATCCATTGGTGCAGTCAAATGTAACATTCTGTCAGGGAGAATTTGGAGGAGAAAGTGACAGAAGAGGCGGAGCAGGGGATCGGGGATGCTGTGGAGCCCTTCCACTGCCCAGGGACAGAGGAAGCGGAAGAGCGGGCGGAGATTAGGCATGAGGAGGAAGGGCTCAGGGATGTTGCAGAGCCCTTCCATTGCCCAGAGGCCCGGGAACGGAGCTCAGACTCTGGAAGGGAGGGCGCTTTCAAATCAGCACAGACAAGGAGGGAAATGAAACGTAAGGGTCAAAGACATCTCGTGTAATTTCCCCGTCTCCTTTGTTGGCGGGGCAATCGAAGGAAGCCACTCCCCAAATCTGACTCAACGGGTTCGGATGCATAATCCTGAACTGTAGCTGTTTCTTGTACATATGTAATAAAAACTGTAAATATTCAGCCAACTGTGCCGGGGTGTTAATGCGAAGGGGAGACACCACCTTTACACGTTCCTTGTTTCCCTAGAGTGGGCACAGGCAGGGGGACGTCCAGTCAGTGTAACTTCCTGTTCCATTGGTGTGGACTTCCTCCCCCTGCATGTGACCTGGGAGATGGGTGTGGCTGACTCCTTAAAAGAACCGAGTCATGCAGACATTTTCTCATTCTGTTTTGTCTTTCTATTGTCTCGCTGTTCTCTTGCTGCCATGCTGCTCTCCTGCAGCCATTTTGTTGTTTTAATGTAATTTTGCTGTCCGCTGGCTCTCAGCCAGCAACACATGAGTTCAGTCTCCCTAGGAGATGAACTCACTGTTTCTTTGTGTAACTACCAAGTAAAGCCTGCCTTTCAGGGATCGTATCGTGAACTGAAATGTGAGTAAACTTTTTGCTACTTTACTCAGAAAGACTGTTGTGTCTTTATTCTTTTAAGAGGGATTAAAGGGGATGCCAGGAAATAATCTTAACTAAGAGATTCAAGGGACGCGGGTGGCGCTGTGGGTTAAACCACAGAGCCTAGGATTTGCCGATCAGAAGGTCGGCAGTTCAAATCCCCACGATGGAGTGAGCTCCTGTTGCTCGGTCCCTGCTCCTGCCAACCTAGCAGTTTGAAAGCATGTCAAAGTTCAAGTAGATAAATAGGTACCACTCCGGCGGGAAGGTAAACAGCGTTTCTGTGTGCTGCTCTGGTTCGCCAGAAGCGGCTTAGTCATGCTGGCCACAAGACCTGTACGCTGGCTCCCTCAACCAATAAGCGAGATGAGCGCCGCAACCCCAGAGTCAGTCATGATTGGACCTAATGGTCAGGAGTCCCTTTACCTTTACCTTAAGAGATTCAAACGAATATGCAAACTAGCTTCCAGTTATATTGAGGGCAATTTGCTCTGCTACATCACTTCACTAGCGTGAGTGAAGGAAGGATAATACTTATCCAATATATCCTTACTACTATCCTTAACATCCCCACACTTCCTTGAAAATCCAGTTCAAATGCTTCAGCAAAGCTACTGGTATAGTCCTGACAAGAGTGCACCACCTCAGATAAATTAGCTGAAGTGGCTCGAGGTTAAACATGCCCCGAATGTGCGAAGCTGTCATGTACATGGTTTTTTTTTACCACAGATGCTCATTCAGCATAATGCCACAGGCATGAGGTCTGTACCACATGCCTTGCTGAATGCTTGGGTTGGCTCAAAAACATATATATTGAGGGTTGCTCAAAGAAAATACTCCTATTCACTGTAAAGGAAGGGGCTTTTCCATTCACTTGAAGAGTAGTCTCCATGGTCACAGATATCTGTCTGATTGTTTAACAAAAGGCAGAATAATGGGTAAAGTCAAATATCTCCTTAACAAATACATACTTTTTCAAAAGCAATACAATGACATAATTGTGAAATTATATATTTTATACTTGTAATGGATTTAGGGGTTGCTCGTGTGTAAGTTGCTGCCACTCCTGGCGAGGTTACCTGGTTAAACCCTTTCTGACTGAATAGCCTCCAGCATCGTGACTGTCTCAGTCGCTGGCAGAATCCGCCAGTGGGCGTTTCTTGAACTTCTTCCAGCACAAAAGTTCTTTGACGCCAAGTCTCCTCCTACTCTCCCTGCGCGGAAGTCTTCTGCGCAGGGAGGGTGTGGGCAGCGGAGTACCCGTACTCTCTCCGCTGGTCTCTGGCGAGGAGTCTTGGAGCCTCCTCTCCGATTCCCCCATCTGCCCCCCTTCTCTACTGGTGTTACGCTGATTTCCTTCCCCAGCGGACGGGCTGCCTCTCTCCCTACTGGGACCCTCTCCACCATCCCTCTGGAGCCTTCCCTCCGCCTCTAGCTCCGATGGCAGTTCCCTGACAATACTGTTATAGGTCTGGCTTTTTTTCTTTTAAAAAAAGAAGAATCACTGGCATTTTCAACAATCACATCCATTAAAGAAGAATGGATTAAAAGAAGTACATAAAGGGATAACAAAAAAAAATTAAGCATTTTAATATGTAGGTGTAGAAGATATGACTGGGTCTATGTGTCTGTAATGACCTTCAGCTTCAGGGGAGATATTAAAGGGGGTGGGGGGATAGTTTTAGAAAATAGTTAAAAGGCCTGTTTTGTGACTCTTCCTGCTGCCTGTCCTAGTGCCTGCATTCGTTTCTTTTTTCAGAACTGAAAAGAAATTAACTTTTTAAAAATGGCAGAACAAAATCACTGCAGTTTTGATACAGTGGAAGAAATCACTGGGATAAAAAAGCACTTTTTTAAAAATAATAATAATATCAAAAACGAAGCCCTTGCCCAACCCCAAGTGGACATTTTCTTAAATTAAGAGGGCATCTGGCAAGTTGTCACACTTCCAAGAATGGACCATCTGCCTCTGGGATTATGAATGAAACGAAACAGAAACCCAGCGGGCCTGTGGATTCCAGTATAGGCAGCATGTACAGAAGATGAGTGCATGCCTAGTAAGGGCCAATGAGTTCAGCAGGGCTTTCCCCCAAGTAAGCTCAACTGAAACCTGGAACGCCTCAGGTTGAAAAATGAGGGAGCTGCTCTTTTGCTTCCAGGAGTGGAGAGGTGTTCATTTTATGCTCCATGCAAGCTACAAACTGAGAAAATCCAAATCCTGTGCTCAGAGTAACCTACCGTACTTTTCCGTCTATAAGACGCCCCCGTGTATAAGTCCCATCGCCGGCAGAAGCTGCCAATCACCCGCACAAATGCCGGAGCGTCAGCCAATCAACACCACCCATTGACACAGCAACCAATCAAACGCCTACCCTATGCACTGCCCATGTATAAGACACATTTTAGCATGATTTTTAAAGAAAAAAACTTAGTCTTATACATGGAAAAGTACAGTATCTCTGTGCTCTGTGGTGGGGGAGTGACTGAGGGTACTGCCCCTTCAACCTCAGCCTGCCCCCACAGGCCTGCCTTCTTATTTACAACCACTTTTGGTAGAAATGACCAGGATGGTTGCAACTAATAATAATAATAATAATAATAATAATAATAATAATAGTAATTTATTTATTTATACCCTGCCCATCTGGCTGAGTTTCCCAGCCCCAGCCACTCTGGGCGGCTCCCAATCGAGTGTTAAAAACAATACAGCATTAAATATTAAAAACTTCCTTAACAGGGCTGCCTTCAGATGTCTTTTAAAAATAAGATAGCTGCTTATTTCCTTGACATCTGATGGGAGGGTGTCAAAGAGACTTTGACCTGACTATTTACAACCAGTCCTGGGGCTGACCTTGACTGTCAGTTTTCTCCTCCTCCTCCTCCTCCTCCTCCTCCTTCATCTCTATATTATCCTTGTGTAACTCTTCAGGGGGATGCGGGTGGCACTGTGGGTTAAACCACAGAGCCTAGGGCTTGCGGATCAGAAGGTCGGCGGTTCGAATCCCCGCAACGGGGTGAGCTCCCTTTGCTCGGTCCCTGCTCCTGCCAACCTAGCAGTTTGAAAGCACGTCAAAGTGCAAGTAGATAAATAGGTACCGCTCTGGCGGGAAGGTAAACGGCATTTCCGTGCACTGCTCTGGTTCGCCAGAAGCAGCTTAGTCATGCTGGCCACATGACCCGGAAGCTGTATGTGGGCTCCCTCGGCCAATAAAGCGAGATGAGCGCCGCAACCCCAGAGTCGTCTGCGATTGGACCTAATGGTCAGGGGTCCCTTTACCTTTACCTTTAACTCTTCAGGGAGGAAGATGGGGACAAAACTAGAGGGACTGGGCTCTACCTGTCCGTGGGCCTCCTTCTCTTCCATCTTGCCAGTACCAGTGGGTGCATAAAGAAGTAGAGATCTCAATTCCGACAGCACAGTGGGAAACTGTTTTAACTGCTTTAACAATTTATGGACCATAAATTGAGGCTCATACAGTAATAAATAGTATTTAGAATATACTGGACCCCATTCTGGTTGTTTAAAAAAGGACTAGCTAACGTATCTAACCGCTGGAGATGTAATAGGGATAATGCTTCTCTAAAACATATGTTCCCCCCCCCCATTGTCCTATATTGAAAGATTTTTGGCAGAAAGTAACTGAAGCTATCAACAAAACTACGGAAAAACTTTGCAGTTACAGAGCAAATTATCCTCTTGAACTATATGCCCAGCACATGGGACCTTACAAAAGGTCTATACGAGCAGATTCTCTATGCTCTTACCAGAGCAAAAAGACTGATACGGATGAAGTGGAAAAATAAAAATGCGGCTCCTTTCTATGATTGGATTGAAGACTTATACAAACTCGCAACATATGAACAACTTGCATATAAACGCAGACTTGCCATGGACAAATTCAATGATATCTGGAATCCATTCTTACAAATGCTGTAATAGGTTAAGATCTGGTGAAGTGCAGTAACAACTTTGTAAAATACACAGTTTTGGGTTTCCCCCTTCCCCCCTTTATTTACCCTTGTACATGGGTTCTGTTTCTCATTCTAGTTCTCTTTTATTTACGTCTCACCATGTTTGGTGCACATATAATTATGCGTTTTTTTGAATTTTCAATAAAGATGTTATTTAAAAAACCACAAATGGGTGCCATTCAGAAAGCAACCAGCCTAATCCAGTAAGCAGCCCGTGTGATGGCATAGTTGAGGGTACTACTGCTTTCCCAGCTTACAAACACAGCTTGTTGCTGGTGCTTACTGGAGGGAAAGGCACAGGAATCTTGGGTCTCTACAGGCATGTAATGGCAAGAGCATCAGGTTGGCTCTGCCATGCTACCCCACCCCAAGCATCTCTCACCTTGTAAGGGACAGTGTCGGACTGTTTGGAAGCCAGGAGAGCACTGTCATCCCTTTGTCCCCCTCAATAATTTTTTTCAGGGGTGCAGACCCCCCCCCAGTGTTGACGGGCATCGCTATTTAAATGGCCTGTGTGATTGATTGTGTGGGCTGGTGCTTACCTGGGCCCCTGCTGCCCTAATACCATATTTTTCCATGTATAAGAAGATTTTTATATATGTTAAAAATTGGGGGGTTGTCTTATACATGGATAGTGCAGAGGGGGGACGGGCGATTGGTGGCAGCCGCGAGCAGGAGATTGTCAGCGGAGATTGGGCGGGTGATTGGTGGCTGTGGCAAGGCCTGCTGGTGATTGGCTGCTGCTGTGGCAATTGGGAGGGTAATTGGTGGCTGCTGTCGGTGAGTGGGCAGATGATGGGTGGCTTCAGCGAGGCGTGCGATTGGCAGCGGCAGTCAAGTGGGTAAGCAATTGTGGGCAATCCCCCCAAAAGCTTAAGAATTCTGGGAAATCTCCCCCCATTTCCTTAATTGGGGGTCCCAAAAAATAGGGGTCGTCTTATACATGGAAAAATATGGTAAATGTTATCACAACCACCAGATGAGATAAGGTGTCGAAATCTAAAGCACTGAGAGCTGTTAGTACAGAAGAGCAGAATTCAATCAGGCAGAACTTTACAATGGATTGTGGTTCTGGTCAACAAAGATACACCCCCATCTCTTTGATGGGATGTGTAAGAAGAGTCTAATAATAAAGCAGTTTCTTGCTTCCATTCCCCCCGCCTTTTCATTCTCTTTCACTCACACGAAAGAAAATAAAAAAAAGAACAGGGACCACTCTTGGAAATGAATTTTGCTTGGAGCATTACCTTGACATCGACCCAAAGACATGACTTCAATTTTCTCCTGTTTCTGGCATGACGCTTCTTTGATCTGGCACGCATTATCATAAGATTTCCCATCGGAAGCACAGAGAGGATTGAAGTTGGTCTGAGAACAGTCAATGTTGCACACGCACCTGGAAGGATGAAAAAAAGGCGAACGTAAAACTCAAATAAAAAAACCAGCTATTAAGAATGGGTAATAGCCCCATTCCTGTTTCTGTAAAGCAGAAATGCAGTAAAACAAGGTTTGCAGTGGTAACTTGACAGGAGTTAAGTAGCATCAAATACAGTTTCCCAGACTTGGGCCTCCAGCTAGAATTCCCACTATTCCTGACCACTGTTCCAGCTAGCAAGGGATGATGGAAGTTGGAGTCCAAAAATAGTTTGGGAAACTGTGATCTAAGAGAACAGAAGAAGGATCTTGCTGGTTCATACCAAAGGCCCAGGTAGGCCTGCGTCCTATTCTCAAAGTAGGCAACCCAGATACCTATGGGAGGTCTTCAAAAGAACTTCAGCACAACAGCAACCAGAGGCTCAGATGTGTAAGAACTTTCCAATCAGTGCTGCCCAGAGAGAGGACCTCTTTGGTGGTAGTACCCATACCTGTCAACTGTCCCAGAAAGAATGGGACACCTCCCTTTCTTCTTGTCAAAAGAAGATGGCCACTGCCATCTTTTGTGATGTCTCTGCAGAGACATCACCTTGCCAACAAAGGTCCGTATCGTTAAAGCTATGGTTTCCCCAGTAGTAATGTATGGAAGTGAGAGCTGGACCATAAAGAAGGCTGATTGCTGAAGAATTGGTGCTTTTGAATTATGGTGCTGGAGGAGACTCTTGAGAGTCCCATGGACTGCAAGAAGTTCAAACCTATCCATTCTTAAGAAAATCAGCCCTGAGTGCTCACTGGAAGGACAGATCCTGAAGCTGAGGCTCCAATACTTTGGCCACCTCATGAGAAGAGAAGACTCCCTGGAAAAGACCCTGATGTTGGGAAAGATGGAGGGCACAAGGAGAAGGGGACGACAGAGGATGGGATGGTTGGGCACTGTTCTTGAAGCTACCAACATGAGTTTGACCAAACTGTGGGAGGCAGTAGAAGCCAGGAGGGCTTGGCGTGCTCTGGTCCATGGGGTCACAAAGAGTTGGAAAAGACTAAATGACCAAACAACAACAAATCTTTTGTGATTTTGAGCTGTATTCTCACCTCAAAGTACTTTTTCAAGGCATCAATCTTACGTGACAACCCAAAACAAGAGATTTTGGGTGCTGTGCCTTGAAAACACTTTTTTTGGGGGGGTCCACCATCTTACACAGGTCTGGGAAGTTGGGAGTTGGAGTCCAATGCTTGTGGCTACCACTGGCCTAGAAAAGCAGTTGCATTGAGGTCCAGTGCCCTTTCCCTCCCATTCACCCCTTTTGCTGTGCAAGACTCTCCTATCCTCTGCTTTCTATATGAATTAGGGCAGACACGTGGACAACAACCCCCTCGTGTCTCATTCTGCCCCAAGAAGGAAGCAAAGAGAATAATGAGCAGAGACATTCAGAAACATTGCAAAATTAAAGAATGTTAGAGTGATGTTGGACTGAAAATAAGCGGTTTCGTGCTGTACAGGTTAAAGTTAATGATAGACTAAGATTAAAGATTAGGATTAAAGATGTTTAAAGAAATGGAAATTTGACATTAAGAGGGAAAATTTTAACGTTATATGATACTAAGACCAAAGATCAGGTTTAAAGAAATTGAAGTTATATATTTCAATATTTTATTAAAGTTAAAGATTGGGATTAAAAAAGTGGAAAAGAAATTGCTGGACAAATAATTTGGATTGGAATACAAAAGAGGGAGGTATGAGGAAGTCCAGAAATTAAGTAACTAAAAAACGGAAATGGAAAAGAGATATTGTTTTTAATTGTTATGTTTTTTGTTCTTTTATTGTTGAATCTTGCTTTTTTTTTCTTTTTTTGTGTTTTTGTTATATGTATTGTGTATGTTTTTCTTTTCTTTCTTTGTTGTTCAAAACTTTAATAAAAAATATTTTTTTTAAAAAAAGAGAATAATGAGCAGAGAAATGACGAAGCATTGCAATCTTGCAATTTAAAGGATCATTGTGGGGTTTGCAATATGCACATGTTCTTCAATGAAAATTAATGACCTAATAATTTATACAACACAGGACCTATTTGCATGCTTAATTTGGCCACAGTGCCAGCTTTTGTAAAAGTTATGCATTTTGATTTCATAAGTTTTGTCACAATGGGAGGCACCGACCAGATGTCCTCTTCCTTTGCATGGTTGAGCATGACTGACAATTGCACCGATTCCTACAGGGCCCAGAGCTTTGCATATGCTCTGTTGAATGTGCAGATCTCCTCACTCCACCCTTTATAGAAATCATGCCTACACACCAACGTTCCCATAATGCACCAGCAACCACTGAGTGCGAGCAGACCAGTGCGGCAAAACTCAGGAGACAACAATTCTCTTGTCTTTTTGTCCACTTGTTGTTGTGATGTTGTTCATTGAGAAAACCTCCCTGGGACTCAGCACAGCTCTCGCTCTCTGTGTGCACAAGCGTATGGCTTTGTTACTCGAAATCTCTGCAAGGCTGCAAAAATTAAAAGCCGAGAAATGCTAAATCAGCAGCATTATTAACTTTGCCATGTTGCGCGCCCGCCATATAATTTATGGGGTTCATTACAAGGTATAAATGGTAACAAATTAAAGAACAGAAAGAGGCAGTAGCAATAATATCAATTTGCACATTCAAGAGTGAAATAATGGAAGAAGGGGGCTTCTAAATGTACAGATAAAGGACTAGATTTCAGGGAGGAAAGCCTGAACCTTACAAGCCACATTTCCATGGGCTTTCAAGTGAAACCTCAATGCCTTATGCCAGGCACCCCCAAACTCGGCCCTCCAGATGTTTTGGGACTACAACTCCAATCATCCCTAGCTAACAGGGCCAGTGGTCAGGGATGATGAAAATTGTAGTCCCAAAGCATCTGAGTTTGGGGATGCCTGCCTTATGCCACGAACAAGATTTCCAAGCAGCTTTGTAGCTTCTGCCATGCGCATGGGCCTTAAGATGTCATTTCTTAAACTCCTGCATCAGCTTCAGCTCTGCTGAAATCAATGGCACTTTACTTATTACAACCCATTTCAGGTCAACTTTATACATCTACATGTTTGCTGCATGCAGCAAGTCATATTATGTTGGGGTTGCCATACGTCTGGAATTTCCTGGACATAGCCAGGAAGATACAAGGAGATGGAACCTTTAGAAGACATTTGAAGGCAGCCCTGTTTTAATTGACGTTTTATGTTGTTTTAGTCTGCTGGATGGATTTTGCATGTATCCTGCTCTGGGGACTGTATGGCAAATAGCTATAGACCCTCCAAGTGTCCCTATTTTCCAGGGACACCCCTGATTTAGAGAAGCTGTTTCTGGTTTCTGATTTGATCCCAGAATGTCCCCCATTTCCCTATTTTCATTGGAGAAATGTTGGAGGGTATGGTAGGATGCCTGTATTTTCATTAGAGACATGTTGGAGGGTATGGAGTTGTCCGACCCCTGAGCCGTCTGAAGGCAATCCTGTATAGGGATTTTTTTTAAAGGTTTAATGTTTTTATATACTGTATTTTTCGCTCCATAAGATGCACCCCTTCCCTCTTAAAATCTAAGGGAAAATGTCTGTGTGTCTTATGGAGTGAATGTGTGGTCCCTAGGGCTGGGGGGGGGGGAAGCTGGGCTTCCCCAACCGCCAGCCCCACAAGCTTTCCCCCTGGCTTTCCCCCACTGCCAGCCCCACAAACTCGGGGCTCCCTGACCTGCTCTTTGGGGCTCGCGGTAGGGCAAAGCTGGGCTTCCCCCGCCAGCCCCGCAAAGCTCCTGAGCAGCTCTGGGGTAGCCCGCGAAGCCTCCGCAGGGCAGCGGGGAGCCTTCCTCCTGCTGCCCTGGCGAGGCTTTGTGCGGCTATCCCTGGCTTTTGCGGGAAGTGGGGGAAGGGACAGAGCGAGGCTCTCTCACTTCTCCCACCTCCCGCAAAAGCCCCCAAGAGCCGCATATTTTTTTTCTTGAATTCCCCCCCCCAAAAGTAGGTGTGCCTTATGGAGCGAAAAATACGGTATGTTGGAAGCTGCCCAGAGTGGCTGGGGCAGCCCAGTCAGATGGGCAGGGTATAAATAATAGAATTCTTATTCTTATTCATATTTGTATTCGTATTCTTGAACAGGATGTCCCTATTTTCATCGGAAAAGTGTTAGAGGGTATAAGCTTGTGGAACAGAAGGAGTGCCATTTGGCAGCAAAATGTTTTGAGCTGGCTCTGGTAGCCTGAATCAAATGTATGGCCTTTAAGGACCATAAGAACTTCTCTTCAGAGCTAGAAACTGAACAATAGCAACAAAGAGAGTAAAAATGCATTTTAAGGCGATGGCCTCCTTCTGTGGCTCGAACCTTCCTCTTCAGGAATGAAAGCATACGGGCTAACTTCACAGTCTGTTGGTTCTCCTCCTCGCCACTTCATAAATCATACCTTATTATTTATTGAGAGTGTTTTTTGCCTGTGTAAAAAATAGGAAGAATGAGAGACGGACACATTATAAAGCATGAATGGCTGTAGAAGATTGCCCCTGCAAGGCATTGTTGATGAAGGGTGCTTAAAAAAGAAAAATGAAATGCTTTTTTTTATATATATATAAAAAGGAGGATGTTTGGCAATAAAGAATGGGAGATTGCCCTATTTATATTTCACAGATAATTGCGTAGGAGCACAGAATAATCACCAGCCCTGCCTAAGATGATAAAATGGAACTCTTCTTTACAATTTTGAATTGAACAGTCCTCTTGAACTAATGCTTGGTCCTTTGATTCAGCAATACAATAATCGAGGCTTAATCAGAAACGACTGGATGGTTTCTATGTATACGACAAGCAAGGCTGTTATCCTATAGCTCTGGTGAGGCGAAAACAAATTAGTGAGTGACACAGCAAGTGGAGTATTATAGGGACTTGTCCACCCATTGATTTTCCTTATCTCCCAGGGATAACTTGTACACTCCTACGTCTTTCTAATCATGTGGAAACATCACCAGAGCACCCAAAACACTTTTGCATCACCTCTCCAAAGCTTAAAGCAGCTTACAATAAAGCTAAGATATCTAAAAGCTTAGAAGTGGCATCAAAACAGGTCCCAAATTCTATCCTTTTTTTCTAGAATTTTTTTCATGTATGCCACAACAGCAGCAAGAATACTTATCGCAAAGCACTGGAAGACACAAGATCTACCCACCAGGGAAGAATGGCAGGTGAAGCTGATGGACTACATGGAACTGGCGGAAATGATTGGCAGAATCTGAGACCAGGGAGAAGAGTGTCGGTGGAAGAAGATTGGAAAAAATTTAAAGTATATTTACAGAAATATTGCAAAATTAATGAATGTTAGAAGGATGCTGGAATGAAGCTATATGGCTCTAGCAGAAATGTTATAAAGAATTAAGTAAAAATAGATTGTTAATGGACCAAAGTGGAAAATTTAAGGTTAGAGTGTCTTAAGTTAAATTTTAGAACAAAAATTGAGAAAGATGGAAAGGACTTGCTGAAATAGCTAATTGAACTAGAATACAAAAAAGGGAGGTGTGAGGAGGTCGATGAAACAAGTATATGAAAGGTAAAGACATGGAAAAGTTGGAAGTGTTTTAAAATGTTTTTGTTCTGTTTTTTCGTTATTTTATTGTATTGTTTTCTTCTTCTTTTTTTGATGTATTGTAAGGTATTGTTTTGTTTTGTTTAATTCTTTATTGTTCTTTTTCTTTTTCTGTAACTTGTAAACTCCTAATAAATATCTTTTCAAAACAGGTCCCAAATTCAAGCAACAGCACCTACAGCAGGGGTTGCGATCAACTCTGGTCCTCCAGATTTATAGGTATCATGATAAATGGAAACTGTCCTGCACCTGCTGGGTTTGTTCTGATGGTACCTAACTAATATCAATAACGAATGTAACTCCAAATTTGGTCTCTCTCCTTCTCTGTGTATGTGAACGAGTAAGAGAGATTATAAGCGCCACTAAGGCGAAAAAATATTCATCAGGGTACCCAAAATGGTGCACCTCCAGATATTGTTTGAGTCCAGGTGGTGTTGGATTCCAACTCTCAACACTGGACATGCCGGCTGGGGATGGTGGAAACAACATCTCAAAGGTACCACATTGTCTAGCCCTGCCACACATGCTGGTACAGAAAAGCCATAAGTGGGCAATTCATTGGTCTCTTTGGTAAAAGATGGTCCACTCAGAAGTGCATCCCATTGAGTGTCATGGGACTTTAACAACAACAACATATTATTTATACCCCGCCCATCTGGCTGAGTTTCCCCAGCCACTCTGGGCAGCTCCCAACCCACTATTAAAAACACAATAGTTGCTTATTGCCTTGAAAACTGATGGGAAGGCGTTCCACAGAGTGGGCACCACTACCGAGAAGGCCCTCTGCCTAGTTCCCTGTAACCTCACTTCTCGCAGGGAGGGAACTGCCAGAAGGCCCTCGACGCTGGGCCTCAGTGGCTGAACGATGGGGATGGAGAAACTCCACACTTTGAATTGTGCTTAGAAATGTACTGGGAGCCAATGCAGGTCTCTCAGGACCGGTGTCAATACAGGGTACAGGGGAAAAAAACCAACCCCTTCAAAGGCTCCCTTTTCAAGAGATCTAATCTAGCTTTCTAAATTGTATATTTTGTTAACTTTGCCCTACGTCCCTGCTCCCTGCATTAAGTGTGTCTGATTTTTGCTGGGATGTTTTTACCTGTTTCCCCTGTTCAAATGTTTGCCTTCGCGAAGAGCGAGAGGAGAAATGCCTTATTCCCCGAGGGGCCAGCTGTACTTATGCATGGCATTTCAATCGCATGCTGTTATTCAAACAATTAGAAATCACACAGACCATGCAAGGAATTATCTGGGCACAGCACAGAGCCGTTTTATTATTACACAGCGCTTAATAACAGGACCCCAAAAACCTCGTAACGTAAAGAAACCCTGAATAATTGGTATATTTATTATTATTATTATTATTATTAAGGATCACGATAGATGAAAATGCTGGTTACTGGACGTATGTCAAGCTATAATGCACTAACGTGGAGAAGGTACTTACTGCTACCCTGCCTTGCATACGAAGTGTGGCACAACAGAGTGAGGCTGTGGTGAAGAGCCAAGGGTAGGAATAAGAACCAGGCAGCTGCCAGCGGTCCTCTGCTCTTTGCAGGCAACAAAACAAAAATAAAATAAAAATGCTCCTTGGTCTAAAGGGACCTACATTTACCTGGTAGCCCCTTTGAATTCAGTGCCTCAGACTTCCAAGGCAGCGTGTGCTTGGGATTATAAATGCACTTCCATAAATATCAATAGCCGGATTTGCAAACCTACTAGCAGGAAGCCTGCCTTGATGGCCGAAATATAAATGGAAACTTATTCTAGGAATATATGCTAGAAGGAACAGGTGAGCACTTGCATAACAAACAAGCAGACCTCCCCCCCCCCCGCTTAGCTACCCATTGCCCTGGGTACGTAGGGGCTCACACTTAACGGCACTGCTGCTGGGTTTAATCATCTTATTTTCCCTACATCTGTTGTCATTTTCTTTCATACCAGCTTGATGGTTGCTGTGCTGCGCTGCACAGCCTCTGCAGGTATATATTTGTTTGTGTGTGTGTGTGTGTGTGTGTGTGTGTGTGTGTGTCTGTGGACATCTAGGGATGGGGGAGATTTTTTGTTCAACTTGCAATGGCAGTGAACTCTATCTGACGTCAGAACTCTATCTGACGGATCCTGCTCAGATAAGAATACAGGTGTGTGGATTAGGTTGTGTGTCTACGAACCTTTCGGGAGCGTGATTCCATCTTAATTTGTATGAGATGCTCTGAGGGCTTTCCTTCCTTCCTTCCTTCTACAAACATTTCTAGCTGCTTGTTAGTTTGTTAAATGTCCTGAGAGTTGTCAGGAGACCCCTATCCCGCTCAGAGATCTACAATTCCTTGGATTCCTTGGGAAGAGGGACTGATGATTAACCACTTTGGAAATTGTATTTATGTAGGAGGGAATAGGGGTCCCCTAACAACTCTTAGCCCCCTTAATAAACTATATTTCACAGAATTCTTTTTTTGGGGGGGGGGTGGAGACCATGGGCGTAGCCAGGATTTATGTTGGAGGACTTTTGTTGGGGGGGGGGGCAGAACTGAGCTTTCTGTGATGAAATTGGTCAGTTAGTTAAGTGTTTTTATTTATTTAATTGATGGGGGGCAGCTCCCCCCCCCCGATTAAGCCCATGGTGGAGACGCTGTGGCTATTTAAAGGAGTATCATAGTGCTTCAATCATATGGTGTGAACAGGACCTGATTCTGTACAATGGTACCTCGGGTTAAGAACTTAATTCGTTCCGGAGGTCTGTTCTTAACCTGAAACTGTTCTTAACTTGAGGTACTGCTTTAGCTAATGGGGCCTCCCGCTGTCGCCGCCGTGTGATTTCTGTTCTCATCCTGAGGTAAAGTTCTTAACCCAAGGTACTACTTCTGGGTTAGCAGAATCTTTAACCCATAGTGTCTGTAACCTGAGGTGTCTGTAACCTGAGGTACCACTATACACAATACTTTCTTTCTGTCCCAGTTGGTCCATGTACAACTGCTGATATTCCATCCCTCTTCCTTCCTTCCACAATCTGACATCATAATTTTTCCTTTCAACAGTGAACTCAGGCGGTTTCGAGCTGACCAAAATTGGGTGGTGGTGGTGGTGGTTGACAAACAAGGAAGGAGGGACTGGCAGTATTGGGTGAATGCCCAGCGATGCAGAAATGAAGAACTTTAGTTTGTTTGTATTAAGGCGACAAGCCTTCTCTCACATCCCCCTTCCAAAGCCAAAGCAAAACACACAACAGCAACAACCCATGAAGTATGGTCTGCAATAAGAGGAAAGTGACTTGGTTGCTTGCGCCTCTTATGGTATTCAGCCTCCTTGAGTTTCAGTCACTGCTCTTCCACCTCAATGGTAGGGCACACGTTTTGAAAACAGATTCAAATTTTCGCCATCACCCCTTAGCATGAGCTCAGGTAAAAGGATGGGGCAGGGGGACACCTTTCTGAGACCCTGGACAGCCTCTGCAAGTCTGCATAGAGAGATTCCAAACCAGGTATCTTCAAGTGTTCACATTTGTTTGCAGACTTCTTAAAACGGGCTGAGC